TTTGGTGGCAGCAGTGAAACAAAAGGAAACCCTGTTGCACCTTAACTAAACTAAACTCTCATTTTGTCCTACTGTACATCTATTTCATTACATTTTATGCTTAAAACTGTTTTAAACATGAAGCGCGAGACCTCTTGAAAAAGGCTTCCAACTTCTGAACTTTGTTTTTATGTGAAAAGGAGACATTAACTGCGATTCCATTGACCCTAAAACTGCATAAATTGAATTTATGCTGATACATTTAGAAAAAAAAATCATGTATTTCACAAATTTTTTTGCACTGGGCCTAGGTGGTTTTTCAGCTGTACCAACATTAGTATATTTTCACGTCACACAAGTCATTTGATCAACAACTGGATGTTACTACTGATGGAAATGAAGAAGGCGACAGGAAGTGGTAGGAGGATGATGGCAGCGCACGTTCATCAGTGACTTATTGGGAGTACAAACTTATTCACATGTGATTTAACTGCATTTCTTATTTAATGAAAACACCACAACTGCAAAATTCTTGAGGAAATCACAAGTTTTTACTTAAAAACTTTATTAATAAAACATTTCACTCCATGTTTTGCACTATTAAAGGAACACCATGACATCACTGCAACCCTGAACTGTTGATATGACAGGATGGATCAGTGCTTTCATTTTGTTTATGCTAAATTTTGTCTCTGCTATCTGAATGTTGCAGCTGAAATCGAGACTCATCGAACCAAGTAACGTCCCATTTGTTATTGTCAACTTTTGATGAGCCGTTTTCAACTTTTGGCCTCAGATTATTCTTGTTCTTCTCATGGAGTTCTGTATACTTTGGTTGTAGCAAGTGGTTATTTTTGTCCATCAAATCCACCATTCATGAGATATTTAATAGTTTTTCTTAAAGGTGACCTATTATACTTCCTTGAACAATTCAGGATAAGCCTAGAGTATACTTAAGTATACTTAGTCTATACTTAAGGATAATTAATTGTTAATAAATAAATAAATAATTATTAAATTAATTGTTAATAAATAAATAAATAATTATTAAGACTAATAATTTTGTGCAAAAAATGTTCATTACTCAAATAATGACATTACAAAATTCTTAATTGACAATGAGATTTTAGTCTGCCAAATCTAAATAAGCTTGCACTGTTTTTCGTTGAGACCCAAAATGGAAGTACAGAAATTGAGCAAAATGTGGGTTTTGCATAGTAGGCTCCCTGTAATTTAAAGCATGCCACATTAAAGGTCACTTCAATCTGATTTATTTTCCCTTCTGATGCGTCTATTCATGTTGCTGATCCTCGCCATGACTGCAACATACTGCTACCACATTTCCAGCACAGTCATGTGCTTCTTAAAATAAATGTAAGTTCCCTCTTCAATACCTTCACTTCCTGACAGGACGATGCTCGTCTCTGAGTAATTATGTGCAAGTGAAAGCTCTTAATGACGGGTTACTATGGCAGTGTCGTAGCATGCTCTCATTAGGGACTAAAGACCCAATTCAGTTTCTCAACACTCATGAAGAGGCTGCAGAAGCAGAGGTCATCCTATTTGTTTCTAGTTTCATTCTGCCTGTGTTGTATTCTCTGCTTGCCTGACCTTGCTTATTATTATACATTTGTGTTTCCAGTCCCTCAGATGTGGGCTACATGTACTGATTCAGGAGGTTGTTGCACACACACCCACATACAGATGCAGGTTAATGAAAAAAGCAAGGTTCACACAGAAGCACATTGTGTCATTTTGATGGTTTTTATGCTCAAATAAAACTGAAGAGCTTCTTTATTGTTGAAAATAATACAACACAGCCACAACGGGAAGCACAGAAAGATGCTTCTATAAGACTCTTCAGTGAAAAGAAAACCATCTGTTTGGTGAATGATGTTGGAAGGTTTTCTTGAGAGGCTTTAAATGGACATAAAGCAACTTTTCAGCCTGTAAACACCTGGAAAAAATGGAGACAAATGCAAAGCAATCTGTATTATATTAAACATGAGGCGGTGGAACTGCCTGCTTAGACTTGTTACATGACTGTTGCTCATTAAACTCCACATTCATATTCATTGCCTTCAGATGCCGGTGTGTCTTGTGGGCTGTTAACTTACTCAAGCGGCGTCCGGGCGGACAGATGGTGTTGGAAATATGAGCTAAGATGGCTTCTTCGTCTCCGTCGACAGGTGACGGTACGTCAGTGTGAGGGAGGTGCAGCTGTCGCCTGTCCTCGCCGTGCTGGTTTTTGCGAGTCTGTGCGATAACTGAGGATGCTCTGCGACACGTAGGTGTGAATGAGGGTGGGATTTTTATCGCCGGCCTTTGTGTTCCCACACATTAGTGGCGCGGGGCTTGAGAGGAGACGTTCGGCGGCTACCGGGTTTGTTTTCGGGAGGAAAAACCTGCAAGTCAACCGCTTGATTTAATCCGTATGCAACGCGACGCACCGGAGAAAGCATTAGCAAGCACTGTCACACTCCTGCACAAAGCACAGCCACAGCATCATCAGTGGTGCAGGATCTATGTTAGTGTCATGTAACCTTCACCTTGTATGGATTATAGTTACTTTAGAAATGATTTTCTGTCTCTGAAGTCTTTCAAACTCAAACCTGGAAACCTATAGGCTCATTTTCATTTTATAATGCATAGCACTTAAAAAAAGGACAGTGTGTACAGGCCTGTTGCAATAAATTAAAATGAGCTTCTGATCATTTCTCTTTCTACCAGAAGCTGGATGATAAAAATTTTCAGTCTGGTGCTTTGGTTTTTAAGGGACAATTTTGTCCAGGGACTTTATAATTAAATCTATTTGTTGTTTCTGTTGTTTTGTTTATTTATGTTTGGATATTTAAAATGTCTTCCTATGTTAAATGTTAATTAGAATTTAAAGTTGGCTGATCTTTGAGGATGTGTTCTTGTATTACCATTATGTTACTTTAAAATTGTCTAAAAGCAACAATACTGTTGTTTACCATAAAAACGTCTGGGACAATTTATCATCCCGCAAAAATTGTTATGACAGATCTGACTGTATAGCAAAAGACTTGAATTACAAATTTAAGAACCCATTTTAATTTTTGTTAATTAAAATAGTTCATAAATTGGATTATTTTATGTAATGTATGGTTATGGCGAAAGCACTGCTAATTGTAACGCGTATATTTATTATTTCAGCTTTTTGGAATCCTTAACATATTCAAAAATTCATCAAACTTCACCTGGAATTGTCCTCTGTGCAGAATTTTGGGATTTCATTGGAACCAAAAGTAGGCGTGGCCAAACACAGCGCCTCCTAAATTGAGTGTCCAAACCACGTTGTAGAGATTTGGAAATTGGTGTATTGGTGGATCCCCATCAAAGCAACAAAAATAGTACAGGGAGGCAAATATTTTTACCATTTCTCAGGTTCACAGACCTTAACCTTTAGCACAAAATCCCCAAGAAGTGTTTATCGGCTTCATCTTTGGTCAGTATGCCGTTGAAGAAGGGGGGATTAAAAGTTATCAAAATGTTGAGTTTTTGAGCATGGTTTGAAAGTATGCAGATCCTGCTGCATACTTTCAAACACATTCTTAAGGCAAAAATGTATCTCTTTATTTCAGTTTTATGTTGTGCGCGTTATTAATTTACTTTCACTTGTTAAGATTGTTAACTTTTAAACCCTGCAGTTCCTGAGATATTTTACTTTTATTCTTGACGTCTCATTTTTGGGCAAATTTCTGAAAAGGTTCCCCAAACGAATGAAGATCATTTCTGTTAACAGACAGAAAAAAACTGTAATTACCGAAAACAGTGTGACTTTAACGTCAGCGCAGGAAATAAGTGGTGCCCAATCAGTAAATAAGTCATAACAAAGGGACTATCTGTGGTCAGAAAACGCTGAGTCAGTTGTATCTGTGTCAGTCTCAGGTCACATCTGCATTACAGTGTGATGCTGTTATATAAAACACAGATAATTTGACAAGAGTTCAGGAAAACAGGAAGACTCTGACAGATAAAAAGAACAAAAACTGGCATTTCCACTTAACCATCCATCTAATATAATAGTTTCCACAAATACCTGTCAAAACATGGAAAAGCAGCATGAACACGCAGACTGATGCACAGATACACTCGGTTTCTTTGCTTCTATCTCGGTTTATCACACGGAAACGGAGCCAGCTGTGTGGTGGAAGCAGGTGTCACTCTCAGCTCATTACCCCTGGCAGAGTTGATCACCCTGTTTGGAGAGCAATAAGACACACCTCGCTGGAGAAATGGAGGGATCAGGGAGCTGCAGGAGAGACGGAGGGCTGGAGGAAGAGAAAAGATGTCGAGGAGGAGGAAAAATGGCTGGCAAAGTGGCTGAAGACAGAAAGGAAAGAAAGAAAAAAGTAGAAACAGGATGTGAAGAAAATGGGATTAAAACAACCAACAAAAGATTCTTTTTTTTTCCCTCGCTTTTTTCAACTGCATTTTTCGAAGTACAAATGTACATTTAATCAAACAAAGATTATTTCCATATCACATTCAGCAACAAGGCAGTTTAAAGTGCTTTACATCACAAAATCAGAAGAAGTCATAAAAACATACAGTAACTAGTTGAGAACATGGTGAACATTACATCAAATTCATCATTACACATAAAATATGTTGGTCGATGTTCCATTTATTATACTCAAACAATAAACAGTTGGGGTTGTAGCCTTGATTTCAAGGAAATCAGTGTTTCAGCTGATTTACATTTTTAAGTTGGACCTAATACCAATTGCAATTATTTAGTAGATTATTATTGTTTTACTATTACTGTCATCATATTTTATTTTACATGTTTGTTATAACACTGTGGTACATATACATTGGCAACAAATTGGTAATTATTCCAATTGTCATTTACAATTATTAGTATTTCTATTGGTGCTGCACAGTGGTGCAGTTGGTAGCGCTGTTGCCTTGCAGCAAGAAGGTCCTGGGTTCAGTGAATAAAATAAAACCTGCTGTGTTGGTGAACTCACAGACAGTTTGTGTCTATTTTGCAGATATGACTACAAGGAGATGCTCCACAACTCCACCTTCTGCTTGGTGCCCCGCGGCAGACGCCTGGGCTCCTTTCGCTTCCTCGAGGCGCTGCAGGTAAAAAGCAAAAACAAAGTGAAGCACAAACACACTGGATGTCACCTTTCATTACCAGAAAGAATCATAATTACCCCTCTAACACGAATCAAGTATATCTCTTATACTGTCAGGAAATTTTCTTTTAAAAATAAGCTGCATGCTGCAGCTTCTACCAGGACAGCTCAGTTTGCCACACTGACCTGAGGAGCCTCACACCTTTCACTGCAGCATGGTGCAGGATTTTGAGGCTTTCTGGATCAGTTAAAACTTGTTAATGCTCTTATTTAGTAATGGAGCAGATTTTCTTTTCTTCCTCCAGCCTCACTTATCCCCCCATTCATCCATTTCTCCACTGCACTGTCCTTTACCTCTCCTTTCCAAACACTTCTGTTCACAGAGTGCGTCCTCAGAAGTGTGCTTATCTCACTATCAGCAGTCTCACACACACATACACACACTGCACTTCACTCAAGAGTGAAATATGCCCTTTTCTCTCCTTCCTCCATTTGTCTGACTCAATGATCCATCAGTTTTGCACAGTCGTGTTGGAGATGAAGGGTGCAGAATGTGGAGGCTTTTGAGCTTTGCATGCGGACGCCGCCCCGCTTTGAGGTCAGCGTCGTCTTTTTGGGTCACGTGCGGCTGCTGCTGCCGCCGCCGCATCTGTGGAGCCCAGGGGCCGGCGCTGCTTCAGACGACACCTTTATGACCCGAGAGTGACAGGGCTGTCATTACATCAAACTACCAACACACAACACCTGTTCCCTGCAGCTCTCCGCCCATCCCTCCGTCCCTCTGCCAAAGGTCACATTCAGCCTCACTATCTGCCCGCTTTTCATCTGTTTTTAAGTCTGTGTATCCACTTTCCTTTTGATCTTTTTATTTTTTATATTCCCTTTTCTCCTCATCAATCCTGCAGCTCACCACCTCTGAGTAATAAACTCTCCCACTCCTGATGTTACCATTTCAAACTGAAGAAGAAGAAGAAAATAGCCACACACAAAGGCTATTAGTTTCAAAGAATTAAAACGCTTTGAGCCCGCTTCGTCTCATTGATTTATTTTTTATTTATTTTTTATTATTTATTTATTACTTTGCGGCTCGTAAATGATTTAGAGATCTTTTATGAATCAAGTAAACACACACCAACCAAGTAATTAAGATATTCTTTTTAAACATCTCAGACTTTGTACGAGTTGCTGCTGTGGGATCAAATGTTGTATAATTTGGTGTTTTTTCTCAACTTTATTTCTTCTGTTTTCACTGCAGAATAATAAACCACAGCGTATCAATAGATGCATGTTTGCTCTCTGGGCCTATATATTGCTCCTGATCTGGGTGTACACACGTATTATTTTTATTGATCAGGTATTGGGTCAGAGCTCTTGTTTTATATTGTGTTGCTCTGATCCCAGCATTTGAAATTTTCTTCAGGCGTGGATAATGATAAATAATTTTAAGTATTTGTATTTTCAGAGTTTATTTTTGTCTTGTCTAAAGGTTATGCATCCGTTCATTCATACATCTGTTTACTGTCTATTTACACATATGTCTGCCCATTTATGCATTCATCCATCTGTCAGTTTATCTATCTGCCATCCATCTTTCTATCCAGCTCTCTTTCTCTCTATTTACCCATTCGTTTTTCCATCTATTGAGTTTTCTGTCTCTAAAAAGATAACTTCCTAAGCCTGGCGGTTGGGGTGCTTATTGTTTTTGAGTTAAGAAATGTTTAAAGTTGACAGAAAATTTGAAAATATATTTTGATAATTATGTGTTTTTGGAAGATTAATATCTGAACACCAACCATAAAATCTTAAGAAAGGAAAACATAAAACAACAACAAATAAATAAAGAATGCTTTGCCTGATGGGGACACAAGCAAAGCCTGGTGGCCCGCCAGGGTTATAATACACTGGGGCAAAAAAACTCTGTCTGTTCATTCATCCATTGTTCTGTTTGTCTTTCAAAATTGTCCATCCTTCATTCATTTTCATTTTGTTTTATTAAAATAACATTAAAAATGTTTTAACAATAGGAACCTTGAATATGAGTGTTTGGGAATGTCCAACATTACTGACTTTAATGGATTCAACCTGGAAATTATGGGACTTTTGCAAAATTCTCATTTTGTGCATTTCTGTACTTCCAGTTTTGTTTCTGTTGCTTCTAAAGGTAGTTAAAAAAACATCCAGCAGTTTGAAAAACCTCCCGGAGTTACATCACAAATCACCAGGCTCCCCTGACCTACGAACCCCAGTTAAGCTACCTTGTTACCTAGCAACCCCAGCGGAACTCGGCCCGTCACCAAGCAACCAAAACTGGGTTCCAGCAGTTTTGGTCAGCTGGTGTTTACAGCTTCCTGCTGGAAAAGACAAGTGTTTCGTTGTTGACTGTGCATTTGTTTGCTGCCATTTTCTCATCTGAGTGTAAACGCAGAGTTGGGGGGCGTGGCCAACAGCAGCTTCTTTGGGTTTAAAGTCACAAGACGCCCTAAAAGGAGCTCAAAAACCAGAATTCAGCAAACTAAAATCTCACTATCTGAGAATAATTTTGTGCAAAAAAATGTATTGAACATGTTTTCTACAGCTTTGAACATATCCAAACCTTGGTTCACCTTTACACTTCTTCCCCCATATTTCATACTGAGGAATCTCATAAACATGAGCAAGCTTATTTTGCAGAAAACCACATTGATGCATAACAGATAAAAAATAAAAAACATGGCTTCCCTCTTTGCGTGTCTCAGGCTGCGTGTGTGCCGGTGATGCTGAGTAACGGATGGGAGCTTCCTTTTTCTGAAATCATCGACTGGAACACGGCCGCAGTCATCGGCGACGAGAGACTCCTCCTGCAGGTAACGGCTCATGTGCAGCTATTGCACAAAATCGCCTCCTGTGTCTGTCACCTGAAAGCTCCCAACAAATCAGCAGTCGAACCCAAACCTGGGCTGTCAGTCCGATCCTAGTTTGTTTCGCTTTAGGATGTGGTGGCTATCAATAAAGAACTCCAGCAGCATACAAAGTCCCTCAAAACGTCTCACAGTGCCTCACGTTGTTATGAGAGGGCAAATAAACAGACCAAGCCAATGAATTTGGTTGGAATTGCCTGTGCTTCATAGGGAGAAAAGTAATTATATGCCCATTAAATCTTAATTTGAATGAAGTACGTGATAATATTGTTTGGCATGAGGAACTCGGTGTGTGCAGCACCGAATGTGTTTAGGCCATCCTGGATTATTTTTCTAATGTATGTTATGAATTAAGATATAATGGATTGAGTGGCTATGTTTTTATTGTTATATTAAAGTTCATATGATTAATAACTTTGTGCTACTACTTAATGATAAAGCAGTAGAGAAAATGCTGCATATGCAGAGCTTTGAAATTTTTTAGGCTTATTTTTTGAAGATCCAGTGCTTATTTGTAACCTTTAAAAATTCTTTTTGTTGTCTCATTCTTAAATAAAATACATCCCCATGTTTTCTTTTTTAAATGATACATAACTATTGATAATTATTTATTTTATGGTTTAGATATCTAAAATACTAACTCCATGCTATTATTTTATTTCTGTTGACCGGGTTATGAGACACAGTGGAGAAACCTTGAACTGCTACTGCGCCAGTTACTCAAAGGTTATTGATAGGCAACCAGAGAGCGAGTGAGTCAGTTGATACATCCTCCAGATTACTGGGATTATAGGTCAGTTAATATTGTACTTACTGCAATGCAACAACACAAAATCTTGTCAAGTGATTTTGGTCTCGTTTTAGTGCAAAGATCTCAGTAAAGTTGAAATAATACAAACTCACTTACAAGGAACTTTTTAGCAAGATATAGAAGCTTGCTTTAAGTAAATAATTTATTTAATATTGACGAAAATGTACTTGTACCATTGGCAGATTATGTAACTTGTAACAAGACATTTTTCCCATGTTCTAAGTTAATTTATCTGCCTATGGAACAAGAAATTTTTCATCAGTATTAAGAAATTATTTATTTAAAACAAGACTCTATAGCTTGCTTTGTCTTATTTCAAGTCTAATAAGATATTTTCACAAGAAACAATCCAAAAATACTTTGTAAGATTTTGTGTTTTTGTAGTGTGATTATTCTGCAAGACATCCTATTTATATTATTAACGTCTCAATCACAATATATATTCTTATTGATTCATTGTCAGTTTTATTCACAAACCAAAATAAAAACTCTCCAAGGATCTTTTGAAGATTCTGCTTGGATATTTTCCAGCTAATCAACACTTCAGACCTGATGGGGTTAAATTTAAAGGTGAAGTCTGACATTTTGGTAAATACCCTATTAGTTTTCTTGCTGTGACCTGGATGTGAAATGAGAGTTGGTGCTCAGCAGGCTTGATCCTGCCATCTCGCTCACAGCTAAAAAAGCAAATTAAAGTATCTCCCAAAATGCCAAAGCCTTCCCAGAGTTAGAGAAATGAAGGCTTGACTCTTGACCTGAGCTGAATCCTGAATGACAGGACTTGACCTGCTGCTTCAAGCATCAACATCTCAAGTGTTGCTCAAAGGTAGAAACAGCAGCTTCATGAAAAAACATTATTTTTTGTCTCTTTGTTATGGTTTCAAAGCTTAACTATTCCTTTCCCAGCTCTGAAGTTAAACTTTCTTCAACTTTTGTTACATTTACAGGCTTTCAAAGTCACAAAGAGAGGAAAAAAAATAGGAAAACCTTAAATACCGCCTTAAACTACCTGACACAAATGCCCTTTTCCACTAAGCAGTACAGCGCAGGTCCATTTTACAAGTTACAAGATATATAGGGGTCACATTTGTCGCTACATCTATTTTATTTTATGTGATTATGAACCACAGATTTTAAGTTGAACTGTGATACATCACATTCTTGTCAGTCAGTCTTTCTCCATTTGAAATTGACTTGCTTTTGCTGTTGCATCAATCTAAAATAAAACTCTGGTCTTGGTTCGATTGAAGTGAACTCTGGTGCGGTTCGAATTCATGTCAAAAGCCAAGCCGACTGGAGACCGCAGATTAAAATGCAGAGCATTCTGGGTAAATACAATCAAAACAGACATGCTAGTCTAGCGCTAACAAGAGAAATGACACGTTTTTTTTACCAAAGACAAAAAAGGATTTCTGATGTTACTCCATTTTTGTTTACACTTTATAAAGAAGGAAGTTATGCTCAGGGTCATATTCAGAGGTTCTCTTGTTGTTTCCTTCAATAGTTTTTCATGCAGCGCCACCACAGGTGAGGAGGGGAACAGGTTTTTCAATTACCATATTTTCCAGACTATAAGTCGCACCAGCCATAAAATGTATAATAAAGAAGAAAAATACATATAAGTCGCATTTTTGAGGAAAATTTATTTGATAAAATCCAACACCAAGAAAAGACGTCATCTTGCCATCAAGTACAGTCTGCTAATGTTACATGACAAACAGCGACCTGAGAATATTCCTGGTAAGTTAGCATAACATATTAAAGTTATTCAGATGACTATTACTAACATGCTAACAAGTTTACCAAACCATCCATGTCACTCCAAATCACTAAATCGAATGAAATCTTCATCCTCGTGTCGCTTTTAAACAACTCTGCTAACTCAGAAAGTAGAATAACACAGACATCTTGCGGTTTAGTGTGAACATAACATGTGATATGATATTATGATGTGTTAATTTCCACACATAAGTCGCTCCGGAGCATAAGTCGCTCCCCGGGCCAAACTATGAAAAAAACTGCGACTTATAGTCCGGAAAATACAGTAGTTCGGTTCTTTTGAAATCAAACTGCAGCAGCTGAAAATGTAACAAACCCAATCAAATTGAATCTACCAGACTATCAGGTGTGAAAAAAACCAAAAACCTACTGTATAGTAAAGTATATTGTATAATGTCCTGTAGTTTGCTTTTCATCTGTTGAATTTCCTGCCTGTGTTTGTGGCATCACTGAGCTTTGTTTGTTTTCACAGATCCCGACCACGGTGCGCTCCATCCACCAGGACAAGATCCTGTCGCTCAGACAGCAGACTCAGTTCCTCTGGGAGGCGTACTTCTCCTCTGTGGAGAAGATAGTGCTGACCACGCTGGAGGTGAGGAGTCGAGGCACGCATCCAAGCATATGCTGCGCACACAAAGCCACCTGCTCCTTTGGCCTTCTGTGTCCTCCTGTTCTCTTCCTTTTTCATCAGTCGTTCTCTCAGAGGGCTTTAGAGTCACTGCAGACTCTGTAATAAAAAGCTGGAGTACAAACAGAAGGCCAGGCTGAGGTTTAAACACAGGGAGAATGGAAGTACTACACACTTTGATAAAAAAAAAACGTCTTAGTAAAATGATGTACTCTTCATTTAATATTTAGTCTTTTTGTATATTCATTCAAAATATACATAAAAAAAATTATTTTCTAGGACTTCTCAGAGCTTTCTTGTTAACTTGACGACTTTAATCCAGTGACCTTAAAATCTTTTAGTGCACAGAATAATGTTTTATAACGCGCTATCAAACTGAAGGATGGCAGTTCTCTACGATGATGTGTCAGGGTCGCTTTAGAAAGGAGGAAAAGAAGTGAATGTATGCCAAAAAAAATGACATTTTGAGAATAATCTCAGAAATTTCCTAGAAAAAACAAGAAAACTTGCCAGCTTCGAAAGTCAAAAATTTGCGAGAAAATAACTGTTTTGAGATAAATTTCAGAAATTTCCAAAGGTTTTTTTTTAACTCAAGAATTTTTCAGTTTTTTTTTTAGAAAATTTGCTAAAACCCCCCAAAAAACTCAAATGTTGATTTATTTATTTTTTTTCCCCAATTTTCAAGCTTAACAATTTTTTTTTTGTATTTTCTAAAAGATTTGTGAAAGTAATCTCAACATTTCAGAAGTTTTTGACTTTTCAAACTTTTTCTCAGAATTGAATTGGCAGAATTTATTTCTATCCACCATGGCCTTGATAATTTTTAAATAATCAGTTTTTTATAATTATCAAAGGATCCTAGCAGCGATTCATAGCTTCCAGGAAGGTTTCAGAAAGATTTTTACTCTTTTCTTTGTCTGCGGTTGATAGAAATGTCATAAAGTACAGGATAAATCTCAGTTTTAAAAAGAAACTCTCAATGATACATTTTTACGTCGTAACATTTTGCAGAACAAAATGTTCCAAATCTGCTGAGCTCAAGTTAACATTGTTGAAAAACCTAAATGAAATCCTCCAATCCCAGAAAGTTGAAGGGTCGTTTTAAGTGATGCTTCAGGTTTTATCGTCTGACGGTGAGTCATAGCTCGGTAGTTTCAGTCGTTTTATATCAGAGTTAAACTAGGCCTGTTACAATAACCAATAAATCAATTAATTATATAATAAATCAAAACGAGCTCAATTTCCATTTGCACCATTCATTGACTTCTCTTTCCTCTCTTTATACCAAAAGCTGAATGACAAAAGTCGTCAATCTGGTGCTTTGGCCTTTTGATTATGGGTAGTTTTGTTTACAGAGTCTTCATAATTAATTTGATTTGCTGCTGTTGTTTATTTATTTTGGGTATTTAAAATGTCTTCCAGTTCCAGTTTTAAATGTTCAATAGAATTTAAAGTTTATTAATGTTTGAGAATGTGTTCTTGCTTTATTATACCATTAGCACTTGAAAACAGTATTATCATTTCTCACAATAACTTCTGGGGCAATTTATTGTCCGGCAAAATTTTTTTTTTTTTTTTTAGGACAGTAAATTCATGTTGTTGTAAATATACTAACCATAGTTTTTTTATTTCATGTTTGGATTGCAATATGTTTAGCATTTTAAGCAAACATTGGTCCATTTACTTTTTCATGATCTTTCCGTCTGTCTAATTTAACTGAAAAGCTTCAAATGAATACATTTGGTTAACGATGTACTTCAGAAATATGTTTCTTTTGTTATTATGTGGTCATATTCATCAAAAAATATTTAAATTCCCCCATCTTTAAACAGGTAACTCATTCCATCTAACTTATAGTCATAGAGAAAAATCTTGATTCACCTCTTCTTTTTCTCTAAAGCAACCAGAGTTTTGTGGTTCAATATTCTCTGTTGAATTTAACTCCTAATTATGCGGGGAGAAATTCAGCTATGTACAGATCCAAACTTCCCATTTCCACCCAGTCCCAGAGCACACAGCCCAAGCTGCGGCCTCAAAGTCAAACTTTTGATCTGCCTCTACATCTTGGGTATGTTTGCCATCAAGCCTCGCCTCCCTGCGACCGATCACACACACCGAGTCAGAGGAACATCTCCATATGTCAAGGCGGCCAGACGCACATGGCAGCACCCGGGCATGACCCTGCCGACACTCCGTCACTCTGCTGCGAAGTGCAAGGTGACACTGCGACAGCTTCTGACTCACTGTGTGTGTTTGGCAGGGAGTGTTTGCCTTAACTACGCTGCCGGCGGAAGGCTCAATTCTAACTACGGTAATTGTTCTGCAGAAAAAGGTGCAGAGAGAGAGAGAGAGGTGTGGAAGGAGAAAGGAAAATAGGATCACAAGTAACTTTATGCGAGATTAGAAATACATTTAAAAAATACACAAGTAAACACATAAATGATCACCAGAATATCTGGATTTTATGTGAAATGCATAGTTGTCTGGTTTTAACTTTGAATATTCAATTCTGACACATGAATGTACTGATCCAAATCCATTTGTTTCATATAACAGAAGCAAATGTTATATTTTTGTTCTTCCATTTGGGTTTCTACTGCTGCGAAAGAAAGCTAGTGTGCTTAAGAAAACGTCACACTGTTTTTGGTACAAAGTTTATGTTTTTTGGTGTCTGGGAAATGAGCTTTTAAAAAACCTACAGATTGTTGCAAATCAGCAGGCACTGCCTGTTACCTAGCAACCCGAGCTGAGTTCCAGCATGTTTGGTGAGCTTGTTTTGCTGTGCTGCGGTAAAACGATGGTTACTGGAAAAGACCAATGTTTCATTGTTGACTTATCGTCCAGGAACCAAGTGCTGCATTCTTGTCGGATGTCCAGGAGGCTCTACTAATGCTTTTCAGAGATGTACAGTTGTATAATTGTGTATCTGTTTGCAGCCATTTTCACACGACTGTAAATGTTGAGTTCACAGTCGTGTGGGTGTGGCATCCAGCAGCTTCTTTGGATTTAAAGTGACAGGATGCCCTAAAATGTATGATTTTGTGTTAAAAATGTAATAAAGATGTTTTGTATGGACCAAACCTAAACTGTTCAGGGAAAGATAAACGGTCATATTTAAAGCAACTTCAGCATTCGTGAATTTTCTTGCCACTTATTCGGTGCTTTTGAGTCCTGATTTAATCATAGACAATACAGTTTTTCATACTTTGACTGAAGGGCTACACAGCGAGCCAATCAGGCAGTGTTTCTTGTCAGGAAGTGGAAACATTTAAACCAATCACATGGTCAGTATCGCTGGATCTGGGCTGCTGGTGCACCCATTAAACTCACCAATTAAAGTCGAGTCCGCAGAAGCAGGATTTATCTATCATGCTCTAATTGGTTGATTGTGGCTGGTGTGAGGTGAGATTGAGTCGTCCATCATGTCCGACGGAGGACCGCCGTCGGGGGAGGAGTCGCAGCCAAGCGAGCCGAATTGCCCGTCATAAGGTGTAAAAGGCTGCGGGGTTTGAAGGTGGCAGGACGGTTTTTTATATAGAAGTGGACGGTTTTCTGAGGTAATCTGTTTTTCTGAGGCGAACCGTAATCGACTGACCTCGGGGACGGAGCTCGGGAAAAGTAAAAGAAACTTCCAGTGCGCTGCTGTTCTCCGTTTCCTCACATCACTTCCCCTCTGTGGTGAATTTTTATTTTGCTTTGTCCGTGTTATTGCAGCAGCCCTGCCTTCAGCTGCGTTATTAGCTTTTAAAAGTGAGAACAGCAATCACAACGCTCACTCTCTGCCTCTTTTCTGAGCTTTTTGAGTTTCCACGCCAACAGCGAGGCGGGTCCTGATTCAATAGCAGCTATAAAACATGGCTGCAAACCTGTGTCTGTTTTACTGAAGCAATTTAGCGTGGCTCAAGGGCGCTGCAGCAATATCTCTGCACGTTCGCCCGCCTGTTCAGCAGAAGCCGGGGGAAACGGTGGCCATTTTCACGTCTGACCGTTTGACTGACTGCTCTATTTGGGCCGAGAAAGGATTGAGGCAGGCCTGGCAGACTGACGCTTAGATATAGCTGACGCCGGTCCGCCTCTTTGTGAGACGGACCGGCACAGATGCCACTGATCCTGTCTGGGAGATATTACACAAGAACGCACATTTATTTCAGCTTTGCTTTGGGCTGCAGATCTTCAATAGCCGCTTTTAAGGCAGCATGAAGCAAACAGTTCAGGAGCTCAGCTGTGCTTTCGTCATACAGTTATGCTGCTTTTGAGATGTTTATTCAAGGTGGTAGAAGGTGTGTCAAAGGGTTTTTTGCATTTTAAGCAATTCTTTGCCACAAAGGTGCGGATTAGCATTCACAAATACCAAAATCTGAGGTCATATATGTGATCATTTCATTTATTGCACAAAGAACAGACAGACAGTGGCTTTCAGAGTATTTACCAGGTATGGACTGATCCACTTTTTTTTTTTACTTCTGATACCAATACATGAGGTTTAGCATGTCTGATACAGGAAAACTGAGCTGAATTGACTTTAAATGCTCGTGTTTTAAACATCTCGAGGACATCATGAATAAACATTTCCATCACGATAAACATTTAGACAACAAGTCTTTAAATGCAACGCCTCAGAGCTAACCATGTCTGTAGATAAACAGCAGAATTTCACCTTTAAGTCATCAGCTGACTTTGAAAACACTTGAGTAACATTCTGGTGTGAAAGCAGGAAGCTGTAGCTGCTTCACCTCCTTGTTGTGTGAAAACTCATCTCTGTGTGAAACGCTTTATTGGAGTGATTACAAGGCTCATTGATAGTCCTTTATGATTTCATACAGTGTAATCTGAGAGGCTAACAATCAATCTTTTTATTCACTCGTGTAATTTTGATTTTTATGTGCTCTCTGGGACGGCTGTAAAATGTGCGAATGGGGCAGTTTTGTGTTGTTTTTCTGTCTGAGTGGATCAGAAAACCTTACAAATTAAAAGTACATTTCTAAGATTCAAAGAAGCCAAGCTATGAAAATGAAGATAAAATGTTTTTTTTTTCTTAGAAAATGGCAGGAGTTTTCCTTTTGAAATCGTGCTGATGTTAAAGCTTTTATGTTCCAGGGTTGTGATAATACCAAAGAAAAGCTCTAGACCATCAAAGGACTGTATTGAAAGTAAATATCAAGCAGAGTATTTTTTCCTAGAATCTCAGTTGGTTTTTTTTCTGTTTGCAGATAATCCAGGACCGAGTGCTGGAGCACGGCTCCAGGAGCAGCCTGATGTGGAACAGCCACCCTGGAGGCCTGTTTGCCTTGCCGCAGTACTCCGGATACCTGGGAGACTTCCCATTTTACTACGCCACACTGGGTCAGTAATGCACAAAACCCAGTGCAGCACTAATACAGCGGAGGAATTATATAAAATTCAGGTTTTATGCTTCCATTTGGGTCTCTGCTGCTTCTAAAAAACAGAGCAAACACTTAAAAAAAACACCCAGATGTTTTTTGGGAACAAGTTAATGTCTAGTTGGTGTCTGGAAAACGAGCTGTTTCAAAAACCTCCCAATTGCTAAATCACCTTTGACGGGCAATGTGCCGTTACCTAGCAACCCAAGCAGAACTCCAGTACATTTGGTCAGCTGATTTTACTGTATTTAGTACAGTAAAATGGCTGCTGGAAAAGTGTTTTGTTCTCGACTCACCATCCAGAAACCACTTGCTGCATTCTCGTTGGTTGTGCAGGAGGCTCCACTTCTGCTTTTTAAAGATGTCAGGTTGTATATTTGCGTATCTGTTTGCAGCCATTTTTACATGCGAGTGTCAACATTCAGATGGGTGGGCGTGGCCAGGAGCAGCTTATTTAGATTTAAACTGACAAGACACCATAAAACAGTTTTAGTAGTTTATTGATGCCAAATTTGTCTCCGATTTCATGTTATTGGTGTTAAAAAGAAAAAAAAATTGACTTTTTTTACAATGTAGTTTAATACACAGTTTCTGATACGTTAAAGTGGCAGGAGTGTTTCTCATGGTGGGTTTTTTTCTTTTCAATGTCAGAAAGTAGTTTTTTCCATATAAGCATCTGAAAATGTTGGACGACAGAAATTTCCCACTCAGGTCCCATATTTTCTCTAACTGGAATCCTAACCAAGATTTTCTGTGAATTTCCTTCCCTTTCGCTTTATTACTTTCCATCCAAGAAGACAGTTTCCGTATCATTTCTGTTCAAATCCAGCTGTGGCTTCTGAACTTTATCTGATTGGCAACAAGAGATGGCCTAAAGTTGCTGCCGCTGTGGCTGCGTCAGGCTTCTACTGGGGTGGATGAATGGGTCCGTGACGGATGTCTGTATTAGTTCTGCTGACACACCAACCCGTCCATCACTGGGTTTAAAGTCAGCAATGCTGCGGCGAGGCCAGATTCCTGCCGCCACGGTTCAACAGAGCCGATATTTCCCCCCTCCGCCACATTTCTGCTACCCTCTTCCTAACTCCATCATCATCATCATCATCCACTGCTGCAGCACACGCACAGCAGAATGAACTCAGCCAGGTTTTACTCCAGATATGGAAATGGATGGATGCGGTGACAGCCACAGATTACAATGGCTGCAGCTGAATTTGTTTGTCAAGGAGGAAGCAATTAAACATGGATGGGCTTTTAGGAGACAGTGTCTTTGTCACTGATGGGTAAATGTGTGAAACCAAAGCTGGATCATTTGTTTCTAACTGGCTTTTCTTCCCCCTCTGAAAGGCTCCCAACTCTGTTGTCATTCATAACAACACTCTAACTGTGGCTGCGTTTCCGTTACAAACAAATCTTTGACTATATTCTACTAATGTCTGAAAAACCACAATTTTGCAATGGCAGTGTTTCCATTAAATAAGAAAGGAAATTAAAATCACATGTGAAAAAACTTGTGCACATGATAAGTCATTAAAAATCCTGGCAGCAGATTTGTATCTGCTGCCATCCATCAGCCATCAGAGGAGACAGCAGCGTCTTATTCAGGCGATGGAGCGACAAACTTCTTATCCTTGCTTCGCTCTGGGGAAAATGTCGTCTGTGATTTCACAGAAGAAATTTGGACTCAAATGACACGACTTTTTGTGAATTGTACAAACAGACTCTCCTTCATTGTAAGGCTTCACCAGCTTGAACAAGTCAAAGATTGCTACCCAAATTTGTCCCCCATGTTATGATGCTGCATTAAAACTTGATGCCAGAAGTACAGAAGCCTGTCTGTGCCTCAAAGCAGCCTGGGGTGTTTAAGCAAACTTTCAGAAAGTGAGAAGCGTGATGTGCTCGTAGAGTCTGATAAAAGCCGAGTATCATGTGCCACAGGCAGGAAACGGCACGTGAATCCAAAGTTGAGGAACCCAGACAATAAACTCTGCAGGTTCTGTTTGGGGGTTCATAAACACCTGGCAGCTCCAGACTCAAATTTGCAGATTTCATAAAGTCTGCAGAGGAATCACAGATACCGTAGTTTGAAAAGTTTGAAAACTGCTTATGCTAATCTTCTCAGAAATTGCTCAGTGGCAGAGAGACGAGTCATCTGACGCTATCTCCTCCCCGCCATGCTTTGCTGGTTTGGGTTAGATTAGATTTAAATTAGGAGACGCTGGACGCCCTTTATGATCCGTCTGCCTCTGCGTCTTTTCCTTCCGTATTTTCAGCTTCGATTACTTTGCTCCAGCAGGAAGTCGGGTTGAATCTAAAGTCACATCAGCAGTCGGTTGTCTCTTTATCGAGCTGCAAGATGAAATATTTAGTGATCAGGAGATTCAGAGTTTTTCCAAACACATTAACATTGTTGAATATTTTAAAGTTGTTTTGAAAAATGTTCATCCCTGCCAGTTAAACTGTTTGTATTTGTTCCTGCTGACAGCCTCGTCTCCACTGAAAATAGGCCGTAAGATTTTGAGAACAAGCTTCTACTTCTTGTTGACAATCGGCTCTACACTGCAAAAAGTAACTTTTCCGTTTCAGAATTAAGTTGATAATTTCTTAATATTGTTTAAGAAAAGTGCTGGTTCCACTGGCAGGTGATTTCACTTGTAACATGGGAAAAATTCAAACGGTGGAACAAGAACTTTTTTATCAAAATTAAGAAATTATCAGCTTAAAACAAGCCCCCTATATGTTGCTAAAAAGTTACTTGTAAATTGCTGTACTGAAACAAATTTCATTGTACAATGACGATAAAGACTGATTCTGAATCTGGAAAGCTGAACAAACAGATGAAATACTGAGGGCCTTTAAATCTAGACTAAAAAGCCACCAGTTTAGAGTCGCTTTTGAATCAGAATCAATGAAATCAATAATCTGAAGTGAAACAATGGAATTGACAAAATGTAATGCTCCAGATGTTGACTGTTTTTCTACACCTTTGTATTTTTCTCTTTTTATGATGTAAAACACTTTTAAATGCCTTGTTGCTGAAAGGAACCATACAAATAAAATGTGATCTGATTTTGATTTTCACTTTGCATTGTTGTTGGTTGTGCAGGAGGCTCCACTTCTGCTTCTCAAAGGTGGACTTTAGCATAACAGCACATCTGTTTTCACGTGCGAGTGTAAACGTTGATTTGGGGCCGTGGCCAGCAGCTGCTTATTTGGCCCTAAAATGTAGGATTTTGTGTAAAAAATGTATTGAACATGTTTTGTATAATTCGTAGCTCTAAACCTGTGTCACCCAAAAGCGTTACAGACTGTGTGTTTCTGTTTGTGTTTCAGGTATTAAACCGTACCCCAAGTTCACTGCAGTCATCCACGCCGTCTCCCCTCTGGTGTCCCAGTCCCAACCCATTCTCAAGCTACTGGTAGCTGTGGCCAAATCCCAGTACTGTGCTCAGGTAAATATTTGCCGTTATCCTCGAACTCTCGCGCCGCATTATGCGGCTCACGGCGGCCCGCTCCACAATTGCATTTTCCGAGCGGAGCAGAACAGCAGAGCTCATTCCGGGTCTGTGTGTGCTGTGAATTAACTCTGGAGGATTGAATTAGAGCAGCAGTTTGTAGCCGGGGTACATCTGTCTCCATGGCAGCCGAGCCCCCTTCAGCACAGCTGGAGACGGCGTGTATTGATTCCCCAGCTTGCTCCTCACCAAAGCGGGAAATGAAATGGAATTTGCTCCTGGATGGCTGGGTTTTCTTCCTCTTTTTAGTGGGAGTGTGAGTGGGTGTGTTTTGGTTTGTTTGTGCAGGAAACAAGAGTGAATGAGAAAGTAAAGCCAATTCAGTATTTATAGTTTGTAACAGTAGTGAAATATTCAGGGTTCCTGGGGTTTTCAGGTCAAAACTCCACATTTTCAGGGTTTTCTTTCCCTTTTAGGCAGAAACACAAAACTTCACTGTAAATGCATTGGAGATGCTTATAAAATGCTCTGACCTGCAATATTTAACTGGAAGATACAAAAAATGGATGTACTGAGAGACAAATAGGCTGGTGGAAAAACTGGTAGCTGAGCAGACAAATTGAGAAATGGATAGATAAATAATGAATCAGTAAATAATGGAAGGATGGATGGATGAACAAATGAAAGAATGGACAGATAATTGATGGATGGACAAATTGAAAGGATGAATGGATGAGTGAACAGATCCCTCATACAGGCTCTCTGGTCTAATGAACGTAGATTCAGGATTTCTTCAATAATCTCTGTCTCTTAGGGTTGTTTTGAAGGGTTTGATTCGTTGGACATATTGCAGCGAAAGCAAACCAATCAACAATCACATAGAATGAGCAAAATCAGGCCGATTTATCGTTGTGTCCCTATTTTTTTGTTGCAGATACAACCTTTGCTACAAATGATCAAGCACAAAAGAGCAACTATTGCATTTCAAACAATAAAATCTGATCTTTCCTATTTAGTAAAGAAAATAAGTTTTATTTAAGTTAATGTCTAGTATTGTATGAAAAAGACTTAAATTAAAAACAGCAGAATTTGGCAATAATAAATTTGATTAATTGTCAGAATAATTGATTTATTGATTCCATATATCCAACCATATATCAGTCTCTATCCAGCTTCCTGCTTTGATGGAGCTGCTTTCCTGTTTGCCTTCTCCAGGCTGTGCGTGCAGAGCGGAGAGCCGGGTGCACAGCAAAGGGGGTCATTTCTTCCTCTTATCGCACAGAAAAACAAGAGGAGAGCCGCTGTGCTGCTAGTGAGGATGAATGAATGAACGGTGAACACTGAAGGGTAAATTGGACGACAGAAACGTTGCGAGGAGCGCTCTGACTCTGCAGACCTCCCGCTGCGTGTTTTGCAGTTTCCTCCTGCCGTCGTTTATCCGGCGCGCTCAGACAATACTTCCCTGTCGACACCCAGAGAGGGCGGCGAGCCGACAGACTCCATCTGTCTTCCTAATCAAACCGCAATAGACGTGTGTGAGTGCATTAACACCCGTCTGTGTGCAGCATACCTGTTGTTATCTCTCTGTGACAGCAGTATTTACCCCCCCATTAGCTTCCTGAAGGATTTCTTTTTTTTTGTTATCTCCATTCACGGAGAATAGGGAGATGATTTACCAATTTATCAAACAGCTGTACATCATCTTCTTCCTCTGCCAGTGACATATTTTGCACGCTAACTCACAGCTGCTGCAGCCTTATGGGAATACCTCAGCACACATCCAAATATCTCCCAGCACATTGCTCTGCAGGTCCAGTCAGGGATCAGAGTCCCCCCGGGGCGAGCCGCAGTGTGTGTGTGTGACGTCGCTGCTGCCTGAGTAACACCAAGCTTTATTGATCGCTGCAGGGAAATTCCTGTGTTTCACCTCCGTTGGGACTGGGGACGCCTCTGAGCGGAACCAGGATGGGAGAATTTACAGAGTGGCTGGAGGACATTTCAGCAGGGCAGAGGTTCGCTGGCGGATGGACGCTGAATGGGAGACCAAAGAGTTTTACTCACCTCAGACCAGGAGATAAACGGGTTAAACAAGAGTGGATTTTCACTCCGAACGCCGTCTGCCAAAGTCAGAGCACTGCAAGAAACTCTCCCAACACACTATTATAGGGCTATTTTACTCAGGGAGCTGTTATTTGGACGATTAATCAATTGCTCTGACGATTAATCTGATTTTTAAAAATTGGCACTTTCTGCATATTTCATCTAATCACAAATACAAATAAGCAAATAGTTCAATTCCTTTTTTAAAATAATCAAAATAAGCATTTTATTCCCTAAAATTCAACAACGTAGCTTAGCAGCAAATCAGCAGTTAAATCAATTCCTCCATCACCAACGTGTAAAAAAGTCCTTTCTGCTTTCTGCTTGACTTAACATCTGTTAGTTATGTTCTTTTTGCATCAAGAGATTTTTTTACTGAATTTAAACTAAAACTACGTCATTTGGGAATTCTGGGTAGAACATCTTTAAAGACTGAAGGTTTTTTTTTCCATCTTAAATGCAAAATGCTGATATTTTTTTGTACATTTTCTGCAAGTGGCATTTGTTTTGAGTCTGTAAGCTCCAATTAACAATTAATCAATCATTGAATTAATCAGTGATTATTTAAATAGCTGGTCGATCATGATTAATACAATTAATCTTTCCAGCCATAACTATCAGCATTATTGTTTCAGAGAATGTTTTCTTCACAAATGCATCCACCCACCCATGTTGTCTTTGTCTGGTCTGAAATGTGCAACAAAAATGTAAAAACATAATTAATCTGGAATGTTTGCACAGCGTTTTACATCTTAAGCAATTGAAACACAGAATAAAGGAACAAATTAAGGTGGATTTGATTCTATATCAAACTGAATTTACAACTTTAAAAAAAACATAATACTGCTGAAAAAACTAAAGCAATGAAAAAACTGCATGAAATAGGCACAAGCAGTTATGAGAAAGAATCACAAAGAGACGCAGAAGAACCAGAAAGTAGCAGTTTGCCCAGGGGAAACTAGACTATATGGCCTCAATAACGCACAGCAATATGCGACAGTTAATACCAAAGGTCCTTCTGACGATTAAAGAGCAAAATAATTTATAAATCGATTAACACAAAATCTCTGAGAAGGAACAAAAGCAGGAACACAGAAGCCCAGACATGTTTTAACTTTCATTTCGTCAAAACTCAGAGCAGACAAACGTTTTTGCAGCCAAAGAAATAATAGTTGTTTTTTTTCTATTTAAGCCGTCTGGGTCGGCTTGACCTGAAGGACAAACTCAGACATATTTGTTGAATCAAGAACAGCATGACTCTGCTGTCTGACTTTAACTAACCGCACTGTGTCATGGTCTGTGTGTCCTTATCGTTTCTCACCAGCGTTCTGTGTGTGTGTGTTTCTGGTTAAATATTAATGAATCCTGCTGTGGTAATTCAGTGAATCGGTTGACCTGCAGGTTGCTGCGTCGTTGTCTGAGTCATCTAAAACATGACATGACCGCAGCTGGGGGCGTGACCTCTGCCCCCAACTGGAAAACGTCCTCAGACGCTGTGATTGGATCGTTTCCCTTCTGAAATGTTGACGCTGCTGCTGCTGCTGCTGCAGCGGCGCCAGCAGCAGCAGCACAGTGATAATTGGAAAATATTTTATCGCTTCGTTTGCCCTTTGCGGCTCTTTAACATTGAATCAACTCGTAACAAGGTGACATTTTCTGGCCGTGAGCCACATAAATGTCACGTGTTTCGTGGTTTAAATCCGTGGGTTTGGTCCTCCGAAGGCAGAACATGCACAGAAAGGAAGTCAGGGTTTCTGATTATAGTTTTATTTTATTTCGTTGTGACTTTGTTTGTTTAATTCAGTTAGTCTTTATTAGTTTTTAGAGTGCGTTTGCTAGTTTTTATTCGCTAAATATTTTCACTTTTGCTGTTTTTTATTTGTTTTATATACTGTTTTGATTTTGCTACTTTTTATTATTATTAGTTAAATATTGTATTGTTTTTGCTAGTTTCTAGTAGTTATAGTCGTAGTTTTAGTTTTTTCATACTTTGGTTAATTTTCGGTGCACAACTTAGAAAGGTCAAAGTATTATGATTATGCTTACATTGATTGGTTTGATTGGTTTTTAAAGGTGCAATTTTTAAAAAAATTCAATGATTGAGTCTGGAGTTTTCTCCCGTCGTGTGGAGTTGGGAGAAACGGAGCGCCGTAATTTGATGACTTAAAAACTGTGGCAGAATAAAATCTATTTCACATCGACTCGAAAGGCAGATAAATGGATTCATACACATAAAAACAAAAGATAATATATCTATAATGTAAGTGTGATATAGTTAAAGTTAGTTACAGTTCTCCCCTCTAGTTTTAGTTAATTATAGTAATTTTACATTAGAAAAAAACTTAATTTTTTCTGTCTTTTTCAGATTATCGTCCTGTGGAACTGCGACAAGCCGCTGCCGGCCAAACATCGCTGGCCCGCCACCTCCGTGCCCGTCATCGTGATCGAGGGAGAGAACAAGGTGAACACACACTCTCACACACACACACACACACACACACACACACACACACACACACACACACACACACACACACACACACACACACATACTCTCTCTCTTAGATGCCTCACAGGTGTGATTGCTATCATTTCTAATTACATATCCCCAAACGGTAAACCTACAGTATCTATATTCACTCTGGGAGTTAATGAGTTTCGATTTGTGCTGCGCTGATCCCATTAAAGGACAGTTTTAGTTTTAATTCAACCTCAGTAATGAGAGTTTTACACTCTGGATGACGTGAGGAAAATCCCTCCTGTGTGTCGGATCAGAACCACGAAGCATTTATTTGGTTTTGATTTACATTTTGTACCTTGATTGTGATCTAAATTATAATCAAGAATTATCTTTAGTTTGTTTTAGCTTCAACAAAACTGGTATTTGATTTTAAAATCACTGAAATAAAAGAAAGAATCGGCTGAAAACTGACAAAAATGATCTCCAGTATTTAACAAAATCCTACAAACTCAACAGAACATTTGACAAAATATTCTTGTTACTAGTCGGTTTAACATTACTTTTCCTATTCAATAAGTTGATATTGAATAATAATTGTTATTAAATAATAATACATATTATCAATGTTCCCTCTAATTGTTGATGTGTCTGGGCGTACACACAAGCTTCCTGGGCACACTGAGGACCACTGTGAGCATCATCAGTGTACACGGCGTGGCCATGCACAAGTATCATAAATCTGGGATCATAGAAAGTTGCATGGCTTATTTAAAAAATCAAATTACATCAGCAATTTTTATTCGTTTGCCTTTAATTTAAGTGATTTGCTCAATTAAAATAAAAAAAAGAAAACATTGCTGTCCATGAGATGAATGCTGTAAGTAAGAGTTACATTTTTTTTCACGTCTGCCCTTCTTGCTTCTCACTTCTTCTCACATCTTCTCGCTTCTCCAGTGGTTGTTCACTTAGCCCAGGTTGATGGTCAGTCTGCTTCTTGCTTTATCTACTTGAATTCAGCATATTGACTGTTAATGGCCTCCATAATCTGTGGGTGGAGGAGAATGGCCTCATACTTCTTTGCCAGTTTACAAATGTCTGCTTATCCATAGTCAAAAGTCTGAACTCAACATTTCAATATCAAACGCAGAACATTCCTTTCATTTGATTTGATTCCATTTGATCTTAGAAGAAGTGCATTTCTTTCTTTTTTACTTTGGCTTGGTGAGTGGATGTCCCACGTAGACATGATAAGGTGATGGATTTCACGTTTCTTAACTCTACCGCTCTATTATCAACTGCACGGCGCATATGACCAAGGCACGTAACCCACGTACACACACGTAGCGAAAGTGAACCGTATCGTATCATTGTCACTCACTGAGTTCAATTGCAAAGTAGTACGGAAATTTTTTTTATTGGTCCATAGTCAAAACTGATATCTGAGCTCAATGTCCACTTTACGTTGGACTTTATTTTATGCGCTACATAGATTTTCTTGTGCGCTGAGAATATGTGAGCAGTGCGCGATTGCGCAGGCGCGCAGTTTAGAGGGAACATTGCATATTATTATTATTTTTTTTCTGTGTTTACTAAGTTGAGCTAAAACTGGATTAAACCAAATGATTGTTTTACAGAAGTAAAACTTTCTGGATATTTCCTGTTTAATTATTGTTCAAAGCTTCATGGAAGTTTTTTTTTTTCATATTGGAAATCTATATAAAAAAAAGAAATCAAATTGAAAATTTTCATTTTTAGATTTAAGAAAATAGTTTTAATAAGTAAGATAAAACACAAATCTTGAAATAAAATAATGTTTTTCTTAGGTTTTTCTTTTCTTTTTTTGGTTTTGATTCTTGATCATCAAAAGAATATTCTGATTTTTTTAAAATTTTTGTTTAATAAACCTCTAATTTCTCTGGTTTTGTTGTTTGCTTGGAATAAAAGCTAAATTGTTTTAAAGTTTTTTTTCTACATTTTCACCAGGATTTTCTCCAGAGTTTATGATTTAAGAAAACCTGAAACCCTGCAGAGTCGGAGCGGCTGCAGCTCTTCTCCATTTTGCTTATTATCTATAAAACATGTTTGTAGAGTGAGATTACCTGCACAACATGTTTATCTTTCCCACTTTTTGTTTATAAAACCCTCATCGACTGAGGAATTGCTCAGCTGTTGAATTATAAATGTCGATGCTTCAGACTCACCTGAGTGGAAGTGGTTCCCTCTCCGCTGTCAATCAGCCGGCGGCGGCGGCGGCGCCCGGGTTTGTGGTTTCCTCCCCCCGTGACTCTGAGTGGTTTCTTCCAAGCTGTCAGTCATAACGGGAGGCCTCAGCGTCTGAAAAAGTGAACAGAACGGGCCCAGCGTTCTGCTGGTGTGTGTGTGTGCCAGGCGGCCTGTGGTTTGTTGTGATTGTGGTGTTTCTGTGTTTACTGCGGCGAGCCAAGCTGTGTTCTTCACCCCACAGAGGGAGACGCAGGCAGGGCTTTATTTTCTCCTTCCCTTATTCATCCTGCAACTTTCTCATTTCATCATCTTCCTCATAGACACATTCTTCATCATTTATTATCGTTTCTAATTTATTAGCAGAACAAAACAGCCGGTCTGGTCCAGATTAGACCGCCATGCTTTTATACCGATAGTGACCGAGTTGTACCAATCCGTATCGCTGCAGCCGTTTCACCAAACAGGAAGGTAGTGGGACAGTTTCAGGCAAAATAATGTCGAACTAGATTAGATCATCTTTCTGCTTTCTACTGGCCAGGAGACTCAATCCTTGTAGACGGAAGAATCCACATCCTCCAGTATACAGACCCTGGTCAACAAAAGATGTTTCATTCATTTGGAGAAGATTAGACACTGCAAAAATATAAAACCTTTCCAATTATTTTTAGTGCTGTTTCTAGTACAGATATCTCAATGTACTTGAGGACAAAACTAACATAAAAGTGACGTTTTATCAACATATAGAGGCTGGTTTTAAGTCAATAAGTGCTTAATATTCATTAAAAAGTTCTAGTTACATTGGCAGATTATTTAACTTATAAGACTGTTTCCCCATGTTTTAAGATAATTTATCTGCCAATGGAACAAGTACATTTTCATCAATATTATTATTAAAAATAATATTAATAATAATAATGGATTTTATTTGTCAGTGCCTTTCAAACACCCAAGGCCACTTTCCAACATTAAAACACAAATTAAAGACTAGAAAGTGGCTACAAGCACTCAAAATAACAAAAAAATATAAAAGCTAACGTGATCAGATGAGTTTTTAGTTCTGCTTTGAAGGCCAGAAGAGAGTCAATTAAGGAGTTATTTACTTAAAATAAGCCTCTATATCTGGCTAAAATGTTACTTTAAGTTAGTTTGTCTTATTTGAAGTGTTCCAAGATGTTTGCACCAGAAATTAAACCCAAATCAGTCAGAGGATCTGTTAAAATAAATGGCAGCCATTTATTTATATGTTATGATTGAAGGAATTTCAGCAGATAGATTTGTGTTGGTTGTGTCATTTTTGCACAAACTTGAAACTCGCATTGGGTTTTTGCGGTTTGTGTCTTTTGTTTTTGTTTTGTGTTCACATAAAAAAACAACAAAAAGAGCTTGTTGAAAGCTACCAGAATTGTAGCTTTGCATAAAAAGAAATTCTAAATTTGCACAGAAACTTAACAATTAAACCCCACATAGCCTTTTTAGTCAGTGTATCGACTAAAAAGTGAGTTTCTCTTCTTGAAACCCTAATTGGCCAAATATACGATCCCCACTTGTTGCTAAGTGTCAGGTCGGCTGGTCCTCCTTGTCCTCTCTCCTCCTCCGCTGAGGAGCCGTATCGCTGCAGGCAGATTCCCGCTGAGAAGAATCCCATTCCTGGAGAGCAGCACAAGCCCCAGGCTGATCCATCTCACTTCTAACGTTACAAACACCAGCCTCTCATCCTGCCTTTGTCTCTCTCCCTTGTTTGTCTAGCTGTCACTCTCCTGTCTCTTGTTTTCTTCTTCTCTGTGTGGAAAAACAAGAGGAAAGCGGGAGATGGGATTGTTTGGTTTCCTCTCTTTGTGGCCACAGGATGAAGTGAGACTGAGGGCGAAGAGTTTCTCACGTTTCCTCTAAACTCTGATTTTCCATTTTCGTCTGTCGCTCACGCTGGAAACACAAGCAACACTTAAAGTGATGAGAGTCTGGACACTTACTGGAGTTAAATCAATGTTTTCCATAAACGCATCAACTCAATACGAGGAAAGGAAATCCCGTTCCCTTCCTCTTACACTGCAAAAACACAAAATCTAGTTTTTATCTGGACTCTAGTGCAGATATCTTAGGACACTTGAAATGAGGCAAAACCAACCCAAAAATAACTTTCAACAAGAAATAGTAGCTTGTTTTAAGTCAATAATTTTTTTAATGTTGATGAAAAGCTACCAGTTCCATTGGCAGATTATTTAACTTATAATAAGACATTTTCTCCATGTTTTTAGTGAAATAATCTGCCAATGAAACTGGTAGCTTTTCATCAATAATTATTGACTGAAAACAAGCTCTTATGCATCTTCCTGAGAAATCACTTGTAAATTATTTCTTTCTTATTTCAAGTGTATAAAGATATTAAATATTAGTAGAAACTGGACCAAAAATACTTGGTAAGGTCTTGTGTTTTTGCAGTGTATTAAAGGGATTGTCTGGCTGCATTAATTATTGATCTCTGGTTTAACAGGCTTCAGGTTGGCTTCTGATGGGTAGCAGTGAAGTTGAAGTCTTCCTGCTGGTGGCGCTGCAGCCGGCGTGTTGTTTCTGTGTGTTGCTGCCCTCAGCTGCAGCGGTGATTAACACCTGCAGAGGGTGAGGTCACTCCCAGAGCCAGGTGTTTCTGGAGGAGACGGGTCAGCATGGAGGATGGGACTGTCTCCTCCATGCAGGTGGTGTTTTCCTTTAAAAGGCCGGACCTTTAGAAGCTGCTGAGCGCTGGACCAGAGGCTCCTCTTTGCTGGCTTTAATGTGACGGAGACTTTAACTAGACCACAAATTTAAATGTTTCCCAGAGCCAGATGAGGAAATGCCTTGATCTCCAGAATTTACTCTGTGGGCCTGTTTATGCTTACATCCAATTTTCCATCCATTCGCCCGTTCTTCCATCTGTTCTTCCAACCATTCCATCAATTTCTCCATCCTTCTGTCCTTCCATCCATTCTTTTGTCCAGCTGTCCATCCAACCAACTATCCATCCATCATCCATCCTTCATTTTTGAAGTTTTAAAGAAAGAACACTCTGAAAAAAGACCACATAAAGATGCACAGAACAGTGGATTAAAAGTCCTGGTTTAAGGATTCTGCTTTTTGAGTTTAGCTTGGAAGATGTGACAGAACCATCTGTGCGTGTGTTTATCAAGGCTAAATGAACCCATATATTTAATTGGTGTGAAACTGTAGGAGTTGCAGCTCAGATTCGGTTCAAATCTCCATCAAGAATTTAATCTGTTGTTTCTTTTCCCCTCCTTTCATCACTGCAACCGTTTCAATTCAAATATCTTCCAGCCTCCATCACTTTCTCCACTTCCTGTAAATATTCAGCGGCTGCCATGTATAATACAGGCCGGCTTCTTCTGCTGCAAAATATACGTAGTCTGCTTTCAAACTGGCGTGGAGGAGAAGAGTAAATTTGTGCCACATGTATAACACAAGACTAGCAGCATGTATCTGGGTCCGTTTCTGTGTTTTTATTGATTTAAAGGAGAAAAGAAGCGCCTGCAGCAGTAATGGAAACTTGTTTCAGCACTATATCACTGCTGAAAGCGACAGGCCGCGCCCTGCAGGAAGGAGCAGGAGATTTGCTTTTCCCTCCCCTCTTTCCAAGCAGCTATTTGTTGTTGTCATGGCCTGTTGTCTCCCCTGAATCCTGTGAACGTGTGAGGCGCCATTAAAAATGCATGCCTTAGATATAGGGAGCTAAAGAGTGAGGGGATTTATTTTTCAATTCATCTCAGGGTGAATTTTTCTGTCCAGACCGAAAGGAGGCGGCAGATCCATAAATGTTTAAAATTCATATTTTGTTCTTCCATTTGGTTCTCAGTTGCTTTTAAACACATTCAAAGTGCTTAAAAGACGACGCCACAGTTTTTGGCAATAAGTTGAAAGTTTTTTTGGTGTCTAGAAAAACGAGCCGTTTCAAAAGCTTTTCAAATTTTGAGAGAAATTACATGCCCTCTGCGCCATTACCAAGCAACCCCAGCAGAGTTCTGGCACATTTGATCTGCTGGTTTTACCTCTGTGTGCTGTACAATGGCTGCTGGAAAGAACGACTATATAGTCGTTGACTTATCACCCAGAAACTACTTGATTCATTCCTGTTAGTTGTGCAGGAAGCTCCACTTCTGCTTGTCATAGATGAATGGTTGCACAATTGCAAATCTACTTGCAGCCATTTTCTTGTGAGTTGGATTTATTTGGTAAAAAGTGACAAGAGGTTCTAAAACATCTCATTCTGAAAGGAGCTCATAATAGGCAGACCAACATCTCATGATCTGAGAATGATTTTGTGCAAAGACGTGTACTGAACATGTTTTGAATAGACCACAGATCTATCCTATCCTATTCAATAGGTCACATTTAAAGCTAAATCCGACGTTTTTCTTTAGATGAGAAATCTACTTTTATTCCAAGCAGCTATCACTCTCATTTTATAACGTGAGAAAGGAAAGTAAATTATCCTGAATTACATATTGAATATATATCAATATATATATTGAATTAGATTCTTTCAGCTCTAATTCAACTTCAGACTTTGTTCTTGTTCTGTTAATATCTTTGGAGAGGAGTAAATGTCTGATAACCATCTGGATGCTACCTGTCCGTCTCAGTGGCTGCTGAGTCAGCAGAACTGAAGCCATATTTCTGTCAGGACCTGATAACCATCTGACATGTGTCTGCCGGCTTTAACTTGGTTTATGGTTCGTTTTCCTTTAGATCCACGCATAGCCTGCAGCTCTGTCTGCATGCATGACCTCAGTCACTGAGAGCAATTTAACCTCTCCATCAGTCTGTAGTTGAATCCCAGGAATGCTGGCAGGAAAATCCTATGATTTATCTTTTCTTGTTGCATTAGTGCATCCAAACAATTAAGACTTATTAATTGTGGTTTATTAGATTAAAATTAATTCTTGCCAGTTAACCAGTATCGTTTGCTTAGGCCTTTTTCAGTGTTGTAATTTCGTCTCCAACCAGCAGAGGGCACCACAGGCCACCCTCCAGTGGGTCCAGTTGATAAGGAAACAAAGGTGGCGGCACCACGCCAGAACAGGAAAGAGAAACAGTCTAAACAAAGTCCAGTTTGTGATGAAAAATGTATTTCATTCTGTTTATAAATATAACCACTCGACAAGCTCCTAAAGTTTACTCAGCTGAGCTATTAAGAAGTTTCTATTTTGTTATATTTCATGAATTATTTAAGTTTAATGATGTGAGAAAACCACAACTTTATGTTTTACTCGGTCAGTATTTAAAACAGCTGACACAAAATAATGTTAAAATTTGATTTCTGTTTTCATTTATTATAAAATCAATTTTCCCATCATTTCAGCCTCATGTTACAAGAGAAAACTCAGGTTTTTAAGAAAATGGCAGCTTATGAAATGAGCAAATCCATAAGATTGACTCATTGATCATCCCTGTATGAACATTGTTGTCGATGTATTTTGAATACTCCTGTCGCTGCCGCACGAGGCTAAATGAAAAACGCTCCGTCTTGTTTCGTCGCCACTCGACCCAAATAAGCAGAAGACGAGTGGAAGAACTGCCAGCTGTTTGAATCAACAGGAAGTTCTTTCACTGTTAACATGCCGGCTTTAACTTGGTTTATATATTACAATAACATGCACTCTTCTGAAAGGTTTCTATGCTAACATATTAGCATTATGCTAATGTGTTAGCATAAATTCACTGTGAACTGCCATTTGTCTTAGTTACAGATAAGCTGTGTTGTTTTTAGATGTAGAAATCTGTAGTAAACTTTTGTTGGCTATTGATTTGTATATCGTTCCTATTGTATATAATATTTTTTTAAATGATTTTTTCAAATGTTGCCCCAGTTGTACGTAATAATAAAATGTGTTGAGATCAGATTTTTTCCTTCCAAACTATGATAATCCAAACTAACAGGAAAAATCCAACTATGTATAATAAATTGAGAGTTTATCTGGTTTCGCTTTGCTCTTTCAGTCTCTTTGAGATCATTTATTGACCCGGTTCTGCAGCTGTTCTGGCTGGTTTCTCACTCTGGGTTCTGTTTCTCCTCCCTGCAGGTCATGAGCAGCCGCTTCCTGCCGTACGAGTCCATTGTGACCGACGCTGTCCTGAGCCTGGACGAAGACACCGTGTTGTCCACCACAGAGGTAACTCCTCACATCACACTACAGCCGCCATCTTTCTGTTAGGCTACCTGCAGATCAAACACATTTTTTATGTTTCCTACAACATGTTGGGGTAGATGTATGCAAAACATGTTCACGACATTTTTTGCTCAAAATCGTTCTTAGATAATGAGATTTTAGTTTGTTGAGTTCATCTTAGTTTGACCTCATTTCATAAAGAGTTGTTTTAAGGCGTCTTGTCACTTTAAATCCAGATAAGCTGTGTCAGGCCACGCCCCCAACTCAGCAAACATACACAATTTCAAAACCATACATCTTTAAAAAGATCAAGTGGCGCTACTTTCACAGCAACATGAATACAGCAACAACCAATAAATCACATGTGCTTTTTAGTTAGCTTCATCTGAGCTCTGTGAAGATGTCCACTGTACATACACAAAGGTCATATTCTTTTCTATTTAATTTTATCTGTAGGTACTTTATTAACATAGTTGTTTATATTTTTGAATTTTACTTTAGTTATTTTTATATTCAATGGTGCATATTTTGTTACTGACTATTCAGGTGATCTGGACCTTGGGTTGCTAGGTGAGGGGCAGTGCCTGCTGATTTGTGACATAGGTTTTTGAAATGTTTCATTTTCCAGACACCAGCTTTAACTTTTTGCCAAAAAACAGCAGTGTGTGTGTGTTTTAAGTGCTTGGCTGGTTTTAGAATCAGTTGAGACCCAAATGGGAGCGTAAGAATGTGCAAAATGTGAGTTTTGCCTAATGGATCAAATTTATTCTGATCTTATTTATAAATTTCTCATCTTACTTTCACTTCTGTTCAGTTTTTTTTTGTCTATCGGAAACCCATCTGAACTTGCCTGCTCACCTAATTGGGAGCAGCAATCATTTTTTTGTTTGTTTGTTTCTGTTTGTTCCACATGCTGTCGGGATCATCCTGGGTTTGGTGTTTATGTGTGTGTGTTTTTGTTGTTTTGTGCAGTTTTTTGTTGGGGGGGTTTAAAAGTGGGGACGAGTTCTGGCGCAGCACCATGGGAAGCCAGATGCTGCTTTGAAGAGCGCAGAATTAGATCTCATAAAAAGGCTGTTGGTGCGGATCAAGATGGCAGAGCCGAGGGAGCCAGGAATCCATCACCCAAAACTAATTCCACCTGTGTTCCTCCCATGAAGATAGCTGAGCACAAACTGTTCTCCGCGGGTTTTAGAAGTCGCAGCTTTAATGTCAGCTCAGAGGGAAACTTTTTCTCCACCGCGACGCTTTTGGGCTTTCATCTAAACAACGTCTTTCTTTTTATCCTCCTGTTTACTCCAGAGTTTTATGTGAGGTGCAGAGGGGACCGGGCCCATTTTTGCTTTTGTTTCACAAAGATAAACTCACTAATCAAATGAATTATGAGAGAAAAAGAATCCACACTTATAAATGAGATAGAGTATTTGCCCCCCTTAAAGTCAGGAACTGACCTCATGACTTTGGAGATTTTTGTCCCACTTTTCACCTTAAAAAGTGAACATTTTAAATAAAAGTCTTAACCATTTTATAAGTGAGGTTTCTTATCCTCCTAACTGTTTGGTTACCTGATCAGTGTTTGTCCCATTTCCTAGCAACAAGGGGTGACTCAATTTACCACAAACCTCCCTGCAAACTTTAATTTGGATTTAACACTTAATATGCATGACTTTATGTTTTACTTCTTGAATCAGTTAACTGAAATTTAAGTAATTTCTACTGTGGATAGTTAACTAAATGCTTAAAATCACAGTTTATACAGCTGCTTGAAATCCTCGAATTTCAGTGAGGTGTTTTCAAGGAAAGTCCTTGATTTCCATGTAAAGTCATTGAAAGTGCTTTATTTTCTAACTTCACAGTTTTGTAACAGAGTTTAATTTAATGTTTGAATAAAAGCCTGAATTTCAAAAACCTATTTGAAACCAGTTATCTTTAAACACAAAAAAGGCATAAATCTGTTTTTGTTTGTTGTCTCTCATGACACTGACGGTGAATTGTCTCCTCCTTGTTGACGTTTCGTCCAGGTGGACTTTGCTTTCACCGTGTGGCAGAGTTTTCCGGAGCGGATCGTGGGTTATCCGGCCCGCAGCCACTTCTGGGACAGCAACAAGGAGCGATGGGGCTACACCTCCAAATGGACCAACGACTACTCTATGGTTCTGACCGGCGCCGCCATGTTCCACAGGTACGGCTCTCCCCTTCTCCACTCCGCTCTCGTCTGTCAGGTATAAGTAAACGGTACTTAAATTAGGTCAAATAAATGAGAATGCCTACAGACGAAGTAGGAAGGAAGACGTTTCTCAAAAGCCGCATTTGATTGGACGAAGTTAACGTCCGTCATTCGACTTTTTCTTTTTATTAAATATGACTAGTTTACGTCTATGGATTCGAACTTGTGTTCATTTGTTATTTCTCGCTGTTTAGCTCAGAATATTAGAAGACTTCAGGGTTGGTTACATAGAAAGATAGAAAAACGGCAGTCAGGTTGCGTTAGCTTGCCCGACATTAGCAACGTCTCTTCCCGCCTCTCCTAACAGAACGTCCGGTAATATTTCAAAATAAGAGCATCAATATAAATCCCGCAGTTTTAATAGCTAACAGTAGCGATTTCTCAGAAATGAGAGTAGAAAGAGGAAAATGTTGACGCCTTTTTATTACATTGAAAACAAAAGTCGTTATTGTCACTGAAATAATGTGAAACTTGCATAAGTAGTTAAAAACTAATAAAAATATATTAAAAACACAAAAAAGTTACTTAAATTGGTTTTTGAGACAAAGAAATTTTACCCTTAGCTTCTTTTTTTCTTGTTCAACTTTTTAAAGCAGTCACCACAGATGATTTCTGCAAGTTTCTGAAATATTTCTGCTGCTGGAAGTAGCCAATCAATCAATGTTTAGCCAGTCTTTTGAGTCTGCAGAGAAGCCCCTCTAGCTCGTCTCCGTTTTGATGGAGCTTTGAAGCAGTTCATGTGATCTGCAGTTCATAAAGTAGATGTGATGTTCAGTGGAGCACAGCCTCAGGAAACCAGGGTTTTGACACCGACTACGTTTTAGAATAAAAGTCGATTTGTCTTGAACGCAGAGCTCTGTAGCTCCGACATGAGGCTCAACTGATGTCCTGTCAGCTTTAAAATGGCTTCAGTCTGCTGTTAGGAGGACGCCACATCAGGGATCAGCGCTTACTCACTCCTAATGTGGCTCTCGTAACGCTGGAGTGGAAGCATCATTCAGTCTCTCCAGATCCCACCACGTACTCCCTATCCTGTTCTCTAAAAGTGTTTTCTAGTCGTCTATCCATTCATCCTTCCATCTATCAGCCCAGGTTCACTCATCTGTTGCTGAACGATAAATTGTCCCAGAAGTTATTGCAATAAACAATGATCATTTTCAAGTAATTTAAAGATAATAGCAAAATAATGAGTACACGGTCTCAAATATCAATAAACTGTCAAATCTAATAAACATTTAACTCTTGAACTGGAAGACATTTTGAATATCCAAAATAAATGAATAAAACAATTGAAAGAAATTAAAAGAAAACTGAAGCCATCCGTCTTGTTCTCATTGAAAATCATAAAATCTTATCATTTTGTGTTTCCTGTGAAAATATTTTATTACACCTGAAAAAAGATCAAATTAACTTACAAGTAGCTTTTAAACAAGATGTAGGATCTTGTTTTAAATCAGTAATATCTTAACATAGACAAAAGTAACTATTTCCACTGGCAGATTATTTCACTTATGATGAGACAATTAAGAACGAATTAACCCTAACCCTATTAAGAAAATACTGACTTTAAACGATTTACTATTTCTTGCTGAAAAGTTACTTGTTAGTTTTTGTTTCGTTTCAAGTGTACCAAGATATTCTCTTTATAATCTAGAGCAAATTTACTTGGTAAGATTTTGTATTTTTGCCAAACTTTAACTTAAGAAATGCCAGGGGATTCCATTCTAGGCTATGAATATTTATTTTCTCATTTTAAAAGGAATTTATTTGTTTGCATCTTTTAATGCATTTCTAATATTGTGTTTACTCAAGTAAGAGTAAAATTACTTCATAATAAAATTACTCAAGCAAAAGTAACTGAGTAAAAGTAACTAGTTACTACCAAACTTGGCTTTAGAGGCTAAATGAAGCTAAACGCACCAATTTTTAAAATCCGATTAATCATTTGTAGCAGCCATATTTAAATCCCAAATAGAGTAACTCCGTTCTGTAATCTCAGCGTAATCCTAATCCAGCTCCCATCTCTTAGGTACTACCACTTCCTGTACACCCACTACCTGCCCAGCAGCCTGAAGAACATGGTGGACCAGCTGGCCAACTGCGAGGACATCCTGATGAACTTCCTGGTGTCGGCCGTCACCAAGCTGCCGCCCGTTAAGATCACCCAGAAGAAACAGTACAAGGAGACCATGATGGGGCAGGTGAGGAAAATAACTTTATTATTCGTAATGCAGTAAATCGTGAAGCTTGTAGCGTTGGACCAGAACCTTGTTTTCTTCCTTCTTCTGAGCCGTGACTCATCTTGCAGCCATTGTTTCCTTTGAGCTGCAGCCAGCTCTCCCTGCTTCTCAGCAGCTTGATTCATAACGCTGTACTTTAGCTAGGCCCCTGGGGGCTGCAGGACGAAAGCTCTGAAACAAGGGAAACGGCGTCCAGATTCCCAAAACCAAAAACACGAAGCGGCCAATGATTGATGGAGACGTTTGCTGCTCCTCTGATGGTTTTCCCGTCTCTGCAGACAGAGACTGAATCAGAAGTTGAAACGTTCCAGAGAAATAAAACAGAAGAGCCCGACTGCTTTTATTCATAAAATCAGAGATGATCACCATGGATCAAACATGATTTAGTAGATCTGAACCATTAGCTTTAATGGCTGTTTATTCAGTATTTAAAGCGTTTTATCCATCTGTCCTTCATTTGAGTTCCTGACAGGATTCCCACGTTTTTCATTTTTTAAATCTCAGACTCCTCCGTCTAAGTCTCAATAATCTGCACTGTTTAGATAAAGCAAGTTTATTTATTTAGCAACATTCATACACAAATACTTCAGAGAACATCAAAGTATAAACATAAAAGGAGCAAATATTTCAAATAGCTCATTAATCAGATCCTTTGATGAAAAGCTGCTGTAAATAAAAATGTTTTCCGACACATAAAAATGTGATGGAGGGAAAAGAACATATTTCAGTCGCAGGACCGACTAAACTGAAAAGCCTGAGACTGTATTTCAGAAATGATGGTGAATGAAGAAGTTTGCTGTGTTTCTAGCCGTTGTTTACGTCCTGATTTAACACCTCTGGCTTCTTCTGCTGCAGAATTATGTTGGAAAAAGTTGCGACATGTCCTGTTTATAACAAATTAGATTTACTGTGTGGGTTAGAAAGTCACAACTGGGACATTCAGACACTTCAAAGTCAGATCTGGGTTGTATTTAACATAAATGCTGAGTAAGTAGTTCTTGAAAACCTGCACTATTTAAACTTATTTAAAGTCATATTTATATATAACTGAAGGTATCATAATTACTGTCTTGTTCTTATTTACCATTGTCATGACAAAGTTTCCCTCAGAAAAAGCCCAGAGGTTGGGTGTTAGTCATTCATCTGCTGTGATTTTGAGTTAAAAAATGTTTAAAGTTGACAGGAAACTTTAAAATATCATTTGATAATCGTGATTATTGGAAGATTAACACCTGAACACCAATTATAAAGTCTTCAAAATGCTCAGCCTGGAGGGGCAGAAACAAAGCCTGGTGGCCCGCCAGGCTTATAATACACTGGAGGAAACCCGACATTATTTTATTAGTTTTTCTTTTTTCTTATTTTGAAACCATTTTGTTTTGTGATATAATTTATTTTTTGGCTCGTTAGCCCAGTGTACTGAACAGGAACATAAATATCATAACCTGGTTTTAATGACAAATTTTTGATAATTATTGATTTGGTAAGTCATATATTTCATTAAATTGAGATAAGAAGTTGGATTTAATAAATGTTAACTTCCTTTTCAGTCAGAAAAGTAGTAAACTAATCCTTTTGTTCTTTGTTTGCTCATTTTGTTTTTAAAAACCTGTTTGAAATAAATCAATTTAGTTGAGCTATAAAATTTAGTTGGTGTGCCTGGTAAACACATACTAGTGAAAGCTGATGTTGCGTTGGTAGACGGGGTTTTCACTGTGTTTTCTCCTGCAGTCTTCACGGGCGTCCCGCTGGGCCGACCCGGACCACTTCGCCCAGCGGCAGACCTGCATGAACAAGTTCGCCAGCTGGTTTGGCGCCATGCCGCTCGTCCACTCCCAGATGAGGCTGGACCCCGTGCTCTTCAAGGACCAGGTCTCCATCCTCCGCAAAAAATACAGGGACATCGAGAGGCTCTGACAGGACCGCCGCCCCCTCGGGGGAGACTCCACGCAGGGGGAGGCGCGCGACAGAGACTCCGTGGAGAGCCGGAGGAGCAGCCGGACCACGGCCGGATGGACGGGGAGGGACGGCGCTCCGTCTTCCACTCAGCACATCGCTAATGACCACAGCGCCGCCGCCGCTGCTCCCCAGACCTGATCCGGACGGGAATCAGGAGGAAACAGAAACAATGCAAACAGAGACACGAACAGAACTGGATGTTTCACACGGCGCGCACTACTGACGACAAAAAACAAAAAGAAACTCTGGGTTAGAATATTTTTTTGTACGAGGAAAAACCCTGGAGGACGTCGACTTTCCTGCTTTCTCCGCACATGTGCAGGACGGTAGAGAGGGGAGGAGCGTTTGAGCGTTCCTCGTCCGCATCAGGACATGAGACCGGACCCGACAGATCCGACTCCTGTAGGTAGAAGCTGTTCGCACACAGAGCTTTGGGTTAGTTTGCCGGTTTTCTCCCGACACGCCGGAGAGACGGTCACCTGTTCTTCAAATTACATTCAACTGATATTGATAAGTGGATCCAGAGGTCATCAAAGGTCAACAAACCTGGAATAATCAAATGGGATATGGTGTCAATTAGTGCCGTTATGATTCTTAAGATTAAGAAAAAGGTCACCAGAGATCAACCTGCCCAAATTAAATGTGACCTATTATGCTTCCTTGAAAAGGTAAACGGCCTAATTAAAACATTTTTACGTTTTTTACACAAAATTGTTTCCTGTTATTTTAAATCAAGATAAGCTCCTGATGGCCACGCCCCCAAAACTCAATGCCTCCATTACAAACTGTCAATATCCTGCTAATGTTGGAAAAACGTTTCCATCGCAGTTTTGCAAATTAAAAAAGGCTTTTAAAACATTTTGATAAATTATTTTTAGCCACTTTGGCTGATATTAGAAGCAGTAGAAATCCTGATAATTATCAACAAAACTGATAAACGTTGCTCCAGGTTAGTGCAGCTAAAAATAGCAGCACATTTGATTGATACCAAATTTGCTTGATTTTTGTAAATATTTCACCTTGAATGACCTCTGGAAATATGAACCTCTTTAAAGTGATCGCGGCTCAGACGTGTTGCACCAATGGAGTTTGATTTGAAGGTGGGGGATCCGGCCCTGGGCTCGGTTGTCTCCCAGCAGCAGGCCGGGCCGGCGCCTCGTTTCATTTTCCTCTCATTTCCGTCTTTCCGTGGGTTCGTAGCGCCGAATGCCGGCCGCTCACAGACCCAAACCTCATCTTGCATGAATGAACACGATTCTAATGGAGTAAAGATTAATTTTCCATTTGACCGCCATCTTTTCTGTTTTTAATCAGTGCCATTCTGACCCGGCGGTCTGCCTTCGTTGTTTACTGCACATCACGCTGCCTAAACGCTCGCTTTCACGCATCGCTGCCGTTTTTCTTTTTGTTTCCCCTCGACGTACCAGACAACGTCGGCAATTTAATTGATTAAATTGTTTTGTCCTCCATTCGTCAGGCCTCAGTTAAGAGAGAAGAGCTGGTGATGAAGCATCATGTGACCCGTAAACTTCCACCTGAAAACTCGGTCCTGTTGGTTCGAAGAACAGAGTCACATTTTATCCGATTCTTTATTTTACTGATGCAAAAGCCTTTTTTTTTTCAACTTTCAGCATATCATTTCATTGTTTCATACGGTTTTTTACTTGTTTCATCTGATTAATCCAGAGTGTTGGCCAATTAAGCAGAATCTGGGTTCAACGTACATCTGGTTCTGGTTTCATCCGATACGTCTGGATCTGGATCAAGTCTTAAATGTCTCAAGAGAACTGCAACCAGAACAAACAGTGCCTTGTGAAAGTATCAGCCGGCTTTGATGTATTTTATATGACCAAACACAGAGTAGTACATAATTTTAAAGTTTAAAACAGATGCCTGAACGTTTGAGTAACCTGAAAAGTGCGGCATGTTTTTTTCTTATTTTTTAATTCAGACACACTGAACCACCTCTGGCTGCAAGCCAATTGGGCTTTATTTATTTATTTTTTTTACCAACTTTGCACTTCCAGAGCTTCCCTCTCAATGCTGAACAGAAGTAACCCCACAGCATGATACTGCCATCACACATGTTTCAGAATTGTAGCTGAAAACATTGAATTGTGCAGAAGACATACTTCCTGTCCCATTTGGTAGATTTTTTGTGGATTGTAAACAGATTCTCTATTATAATGACCCTCAAATTTAAACTTTAAAGCAGGAAGTAGAACATAAGCCAGTCTACCTAACTTTGCTCTAAGATTCTCCACATCTTCACCCCCTACTCACATTTATATTCAAATTAAATCAAAACACAGGCGGTCTAGTTACTAATTATCTGAAGGAAACTGGCTGCTTTATTCAGGCATGTGCACTTATGCCGCACTTATCAGTTTTTTTGTTTAATAAATAATTTTGAAACATAAATAATTGTTTGAATGTGCAGCAGCCATTTGAACTTCTACAATGTTGTGGACATTCAAGACATTAAAGCTGCAACTATTGGTATTAATATCTTAATTTATTGAATTATAAGTTTTTATGTGACCTAAAAAAAACTAATTTTGCAAAAAAAAAAAAAAAAAAATGTTTTGTCCCAGCTAACATTTCCACATACTGTCAAAGCTTCAAAAGTCGCACACTTTGGCTGCAAGCTAGTCTTAGCCACTGTCCTAAAATTAGCATTTTAGCTTTTACAAAAGTAAACGCTAATTTAAGTATGTCACTTTAGGTCAACATGCTAGTGTTAGCCGACATGCTATCATTGTAGCCCTTTGCATCCTAGATAAAGAACTTTGAAATACAGTAGTTAGCAACACTCAACTGCTAGCATATTAGCTAAAAACACTATTAACTTTAGCTTAATGCGCTCAACAGTAGTAGCACCACAATAGTTTGTGGTACCATTAAAGTGATAATAAGTCCCACTTATTGCTACTTTGTAGCTGTTTAATAGCAATAATAATTCCACAAATACACTTTTAAAAAAATTATACTAAACATTTATAGGTTCAGGACAGCAGTCCAGGATTTCCCCAGGAAAGCCCGGTGTTCTGGTTCTGGGTGTTAGGTTCTGGTTCTGGGTGTTAGGTTCTGGTTCTGGGTGTTAGGTTCTGGTTCTGTCGTTCATCCAGCAGCCCGTCGTGCTTTTGAGTTAAAAGTTGACAGAAAGTTTGAAAATATCGCTTGAATTGGTGTTCAAGATCAACACCTGAACACCAATTATAAAGTCTTTTAAAAAGGAAGTCATTAATAAAAACTAAAATAAATAAACAGTGCTTAGCCTGGCGGGGGCACAAGTGAAGCCTGGTGGCCCGCCAGGCTTATAATACACTGAGGGAAACCCTGCAGTCACATAAAGAAGTGTTTTATATCACACATATCATATTTTCAAATGTATTGATACTCTTATTGAGCAGACAGTGGAGGAAATTGTAAAACTAAATTCAGTTTTAGGGTTTTAAACTTCAGTAATTGGAATTTCTTAACAATAAATGAGCAAAGTTCTGCACCGAGATTTTTATGTTGTCTTAAAGTTTTCACTCATGTTTTTTCTACATATATATAATATTGGCTTCTTGCAGGACATTTCACCGTTATGAGCTACTTTGTGTTGGTTTGTCCTCTGATCCGGTTGAACAGGATACTTTTCCAAAGCACTGTGTTGGACCTGAGCGCATCAGTCCTGAGGGCAGCAGCTGATATTTGTTCGGGTTACTTCCTCCTCGCTCTGCACATCGGTCCATTTCATCCAAACGGGAAACTTCCAGACTCATCGCCACAGCTCTGATCTCACAAAAGCATCGCCGCCAATCTAGATTTGGGAGGCAGCTGGGCCGCTCCAGATGGTTCATTACGGTAATGGTTCTGATCCGAGTGCGACGGAGCAAAGTGAGGGGAAAACTCCTCATCGCACCGGAGAGTCCGGCTGCAGCGTCTGGGTTTTGTCTTCTTGTTCAGAACCGGACTCTGAGTCTGATTTGTGCCTTTTATCAACAGGAGCCCAAACTTTTGAACAGTGGAGGAGTCGCAGCTTCACTCACACACACAACTTCACACAAACACACACACAACTTCACTCACACACACACAGCTTCACTCACACACACACAGCTTCACTCACACACACACAGCTTCACTCACACACACAACTTCACACAAACACACACAGCTTCACACAAACACACACACACAGCTTCACTCACACACACACAGCTTCACTCACACACACACAGCTTCACTCACACACACACACAGCTTCACTCACACACACACAGCTTCACTCAAACACACACACAGCTTCACTCACACACACACACAGCTTCACTCACACACACACAGCTTCACTCAAACACACACACAGCTTCACTCACACACACACACAGCTTCACTCACACACACACAGCTTCACTCACACACACACAGCTTCACACAAACACACACAGCTTCACTCAAACACACACAGCTTCACTCCAACACACACACAGCTTCACTCACACACACACAGCTTCACTCACACACACACAGCTTCACTCACACACACACAGCTTCACTCACACACACACAGCTTCACTCACACACACACAGCTTCACTCAAACACACACAGCTTCACTCACACACACACAGCTGTACTGTTGTCATGTTGGACACCTTTAGTGTTAACGACGTGTGACAGCTTCCTGTTGATGCGTGAGGGAACCGGTGAAGCCCGGCTGTCCTGATGCCTTTCCTCCCTGTAACTAAGAGAAGACTTTTATAGAGGCCACACATTAAACAGATAAATGACCATTTTGTAAGAATGATTTATAATAAAAAATAAACTCATATTTGATTATAGCCGAGCGTCTGCAGTTTGTTTCTGGTCGATCAGAGGAGCCCAGAGCCGGGAAGTAACTGCTTCCGTTCACTGAGTCACATTTTGCTCCAGTCAGTTTATTATCGTCTCAACTCTGGAGGAAAATGTCAGTTTTTTCTACTCACTGAATGAAAAGAAAACATGTTTTAGCCTGAAGCTTTTGCTAAAGTTTTAACCAAACAACCAAAAGCTCGATTAGTCGGCTTTGTTGTGAATTATTAAACGGGTCGTATCAGACGCGCCTGCAGAATCTTACGGATCACATTTTGTTTTCCAGATTATGTCCTGGAAAATAACTTTGCTGATCTACAATGGAGAATCAGAGAAAAATGTTCAGGAATCATGAGAGTAACATCGAAGTATCACGAGAAGTCATACGAGAATGACGTTAAAATATTATGAGAATAAATTAGTTTTAAAGTAGCCGCAGTATATCGAGAATAAAGTTGGGAAAAAATTGTGATATCAGAAAAATATCAAAATACAAAAAAAAAAAAAAGTGGGAATAATATGAAAATAAAGTCAAATTAGTACCAGACAAAATGTAATAAAAAGAGAATAAAGTCACAATACTTAGTTACAACCTTATCAGAATGAAGGTGTAATAATTTGAGATTAAAGCCAATATTTTGAGAATAAAGTCATGATAATTAGTCATGATCTTATGAGAATAAAGTTGTAGTAGAATGAGAATAATCCTATTACAATAAAAATTATACTATTATCAGAGAACTCATTCGGAGAAAATGAGAATAAAATCACAATAAAGTAAAAATAATACAAGAATAATGGAAGAAAATGAAGTAATCTGACTTTATGCTGGTAATTTTAATACTTTTTGGAAAAAAATGAATAAGAATAATAAAATCGTCAGACTGAGGTTGTAATATTATCATTTCTGTTGGTCCTGTTCTCCGTCGTGCCTTAAAAAAAAACAACAAAACAAAAGTCCTACTAAGCCTGGAAGCTCGGATCAAAAGCTTTGAACAACAAAAGCTTTTTCACCTGAAATAGAGAGAAAAGTGACATTTCAGCTCTAAAGAAGAATTAGCCGTGGAAACGTACCGACCTGTTAGCAGCTGCCAGCAGGTGACGTTCAGGTGAAGTGGTGATGTTTATTAATGAGAGCAGCCTTTTTAAATTAGGACTTCCTTTGATGGAGCTTGTTGGAAATTCAAATGACAAAAGCCGGAGCTCTGCAGGATCGCTGCGGCACAGGAACCGGCTCCTCATGCAGCGTCGCAATCTTCCAAGACTGACAGAAGAATTACAATTAGCGCAGCGATTCACAGACTTCTGGACACGCAGCGTTAAATGTTTGCATTCGTTTCTCACTTTGAGCCAAAGATCAGAGCCTCCAACCTTTCAGTCCGGCTTCATTTGTTTGTGGTTCTTTGAACAACAGAGGAGCGATTCTCAAAAAATAAAAAGTGGCAAAAAACCATTTAAAACATTTCATATTTCTGGTTTTGTGCCTCCATTTTGGTCTCTACTAGATCGGAAATTAATTTTCTCACCTGTAGGTGAGAAAATAAACCTCCAAAAAAATCTGACAGCGAACAGCAGGATTTCTAACAAACAGAAACTCAAAAAGATTTGGAGTTAAATATTTAACAAGAACCTAAAACATGTTCTATTTATGTTTGTGCCTCCATTTGGTTCTTAACTGCTTCTAAACTCTGAGACTTTTTCTGGCCTTAAAGTTTTTTGGTGTCTGGAAAATGAGTCATTTAAAAAGAAAACATTCTTGTTGTTACCGTGCCGTAACCTAGCAACCCCAGCAGAGAGCCGTCCGTCACCTAGCAACCCAGCAGAGAGCCGTCCGTCACCTAGCAACCCCAGCAGAGAGCCGTCCGTCACCTAGCAACCCACCTGGACGGCTGACAAGCGTTTGGTTGTTGATCTACAATCCAGGAACCATTTGCTGCATTTGGAAATAAATCGGCATTTGATGATTTCTAACAGAAAACAAACAGAGACTCTTCTGAAATCTCAGAAAGGTTTATAGAGGAGCAGAGAATTTAACACTCGGCCACAGGGGAGCGCTGATGACATCACACTGAGTCCAAAAGAGACGATTCGCTGTAAGTTCGGTTTCGCCACAGTGAGTCCCTCAACTCCGAGTCCAATTATCTTCAAACTTCAGTCTGGAGGAAGTATTGATTAAATACGTCTATAATAATTTTATTTAGCCTGCAGCTACAGATACATGAAACATATTTTATCTTTAGGTTAAATAAATCTGACTGTAGATCATGGAGGTAGACAGAACTGTCTCTGCCGTCCAACCCTTAGTCCCTCGTTCTTCTTCTGTGGTTTCCAACATGCAGATATTGCCAGAGTTCCCGTTTCTCATGTAAAGTGCAGTCCAGTTAGCAACCTGCAGGTCTCCCACCCGAGCGTCGGCGCGGCGCAGTGCGGCGCGTTCAGCTGCGGACGGCCAGCATGGAGTTGATCTCCCAGATGAGGTTCCGCAGTTGGTCCATGATCTGCTTCAGCTGCTGGTTCTTCTGCTTCAGCTTCTGCAGGAAACGCAAAACGACGACACCAGAAGAAAACTGAGCGATTTTATAAACTTGCACTGCAAAAACACAAAATCTTACAGACTAATCTGGTTTAGTTTCTGATAGAAAGACCTCAGTACACTTGAAATAACTTAAGTAACTTTTCATTTTAAGACAATAATTCCTTAATGTTGATAAAAATGAACTCGTTTCAGTAGAAGATTATTTCACTAAATGTCTCGTTCATAATTTGATTTTATGACGGATTAAGTCGGAAATTGAGAAAATATTTTTTAGTTAAACGAAATAAAGAATGATAATGAGGAAAAACTATAACTGGAACTAAAACTATAACAGACTGATATAATTTATTTTTATGAATCTATGCATTAGTCTTTTCCTCACAAACATTTTGCAAAATGGCGGCATGTTCGATGCCTGAAACATTTTCGCACTAAAACTGACTGAATTAGACAAACAAAAAGTCACAACTCAATGAACTAAAACAGAATGAAAAGCTGTTGTAACTCTGGTAAATACTTTGCACCAACATGGAGGATTGTCTGGACTGATTAATTAGTGAAGGGACTTGGTTTCCTCTGAGCTTCATGACTCCTGGCTGAAGGTGAAACAGGAAAGTTCGTCCACAAAGAGACTTTTAAACTTCAGAGATTCAGAACAACAAACCAAACCTTCCCGCATGATCACTGAGAACTTAATCAGGACGACATCAGAGGAGCAAACAGGCTTCGTCCCCCGGTCGTCTCTGAATGCTTTCCTGAAATCTCTGAGTCAACAGCTGCTGTGGACCCAAAGCCTTGACGCACAAACTAATAATGGCTCCTTCTCTGCCGCTGCAGCTGGAGACTGAACAATAAAATCAAGCACAGCTGCCAAGCGTGGGCTGCATTACAGGAAAAAAATAAAATACCTCAAAATGTTTGGAGGTTTGGGCAAATTTAGCAGCAGCGCATCAGAGAGGAAGAGGAGGGAGAGGAGGAAGAGGAGGGAGCTCCTGTATCTGCAGTGCAGTGAAATCTATTAAGATTAAATCCATCTCGCTCTCTGTAACACTCCTTTAGCCATGACTAATTACCAGCCATTTTGCGGCGCAGATAACACCTTGAGCAATCGATTTCACACGGCTCTGGTGATATCAGCTGTTTAGCTGATTGTCCTTGAAGATATTCCAGAGTTTGGAAAGACTCCAGTCTCTTCCTCAGGGGGATTTCTAAACGCTTCGCGAGCTTCTCCACTTCTCAGAGACGTTGGCTTTGATTCTGGGCGCCGTCCTGCGCCTCTGCCAGCGTGTATTTTACAGGATTCGCCTCATTAATCCAACAAGTGAGACCTGAGAAACCCGATTCCTCTGGTGCTCAGACGATTCCTCCCTGTATGTTCAGGAAGTTTGAAAACAGAGAACAGCGCCGTTTTCAATCAGGGCTGAAACGATTAATCGTAATCAATCGGTTACTGATAGAATAGTCAACTAATTTAGTAATCAATTAGTCATTAATTGGACTATATGGAATCACAATTATACAAAAAGTACCAGTATTTTACATTTCAGACTTAAAAACAGACCATCGTCTGTAAACTTGTTTTAAACTGATTTCTTTATTGATGATGCCTCCTTGAAGTTTTAGTAAGTTTGTAAACAAATAATGTCGATTTTAATTAGGATTGACATGATAAATAGATTATTGAAATAATAATCAACTCCTTTAGTAATCGATTAATCATGAAGTCGTATTCAGACCCACAAAAAGGCCATTTCTGTAAAAAAGAAATTTTAATCTTATTTAGAGCAGTAATTAAACCAAAACTGTATAAAAATATACACATTTTCCATTTAAGATAAAAATGTAAACCTGTTTTAAAACCGTTTTCTCTCTGGCAGCGAGATAATTAATGCCTCGTTTATTTTCAGTAAATGTAAAAGATTAATGTAGTTTTTAATCAGAGCTGAAAGATTAATCGAATCAGTCGTGATTAATCGATTATTAAAATAACCAATTTAGTAATCAATTAATCATTAACTAGCGTATATATGCAGACTCAACAAAAGACAAAAAATACAGACATTTGAGTTATATACAATAAAACACATTTGTCTGTAAATAAAATTAGAATTTCTCAAACGCCAGCTTCACCCAATTTCTATTCATTCCAGAAATCCCATAATTTTGTAATTTAAGCAATAAAATGTTTATTTTCTTACATAAAAGGAAAGTTAATTAGTTTTTTATTTGCAGGTTTTATTTATAATTCTACAGAAAAAAGGTTTCAAGTGGTTAAATTAAAATTTTGTTCCATTTCATTCAACTAATAGAATAACAAATAGGTCGATCGATCACCATTTTTAATATCTGCAGCATCAACGTCACTTTAAGTTTCTGAAAGGAGGCAGCAGAGTTTTAATTATGAAGGCTGCCTGGCATAAAGTGATACATGAATAATTATCACAGAAATTATGCATCAACCTCAGGAAATGCAGATTTCATTCAGAACCTCATAATGACTGCAGCTCTAATCCTGCAGAATATCTGCAGATATTCTCCGTTCTCTGGTGTTTAGATGCATTTGCAGCTCTGCTCAGACATGCAGTGACCAGTCAACAACTCCTGGTTCTACTGGACCTACTGCATGCAGCAGAACCGCCTGCAGAGCGAGCAAAGCGGCACGGTGACCCGAGCTGGAATGACTGGCGCTTACAGGCCGGTGCAGTCATGTGTGCAGGTGAGCATGTCTGCCGCCATGCGCCGGTTTGTGACTTATTCTGGGCTCCGACTGTTGCAATAAGGCAGAAACCGCAGAAACACACAGCAGGCAGAGAAACACAGACGGATTCCCACCGCAGGGACGGTCCGTTCTCCTCTCAGTTCAGGCCCTTCAAAGTAAAAGCAGCGGTGATGCACAGAGTTCAGCTACCTGCCGCTGCAGCTAAAACTGAGCAACCTCAAATGAAGAACTGGAGGAAGTACTTAATAAAGGTGAACACGTATCGTATCGTTTATCGTGATAAATTCACGATAAACTGTCTACGATCTCAGGATGGTGAATTTTATTATCTATTTCCACTGTTTGTCCAAAGGATGCATGATGTATCGGCAGCAACATCGCTATCAGCCAATATTAGTAATTCTGTAACATATCGGTATCGGCCCTATAAATTAAACTGGGCCGATGTGAACAACCAATATTTATGTTGAAACATTAAGATTTTCTATTGAGTATAATTTGTAAAACATAATGTGAGTCTTAGGGCCAATCTGAGAAACTAAAATTAACCAGAATAATACATTTTTTGGTCATTTTTGACTTTATTCTGGTAATATGACAACTTTAGTCTCATAATTTAACTTCATTTTTTTCTTATGATACATTTTGTGTTGGAGATTTCACCACTGCATTCTCCTAATATTACTTATATTACTTTATTATTGCAATATAAAAACTGCCTGATTTTAGAGTTAATAACTAAATAAATAAAAGCTCTAAAACAAAATGGCCGCCCTCGGAACACTGAGGGCGGCCATTGAATTATGGAAATAGTATAACTACGTAGTAAAAATGGAAAAACTTTTAATTTTGCAATAATTAAATCGTCAAAGGCCAAAAAGACATCAATAAAAATTGCAGTAAAACATTTGAACAGAAGGCATTGAGTAAGTTTTAACTGTTATTTAGGACGCTGATAAATGACGACCTTCTAACATTTGGCTCATTTTTGTAAAGGATGCATTTATATTTTCATGTAAATGTTACACATTAACATGACAGTAGCTGTTTTAGTCTGTGGATCTGCGATCAGCGTTTTATCCCAGCAGCTCAGGTTCTGCATCTGTAAACTCACTAAACTCCATGTTGCAACCTAAAAACAAGAAACAGCCCACAGCTGATCCACGCTGAGCCTCGTAACCAGGACTTCTGGTGATATCAGGTTCATTGGGTTTGCTGAGCAACCAGAGAGCAGCGGCTCATAAATTAACAGTCTAACTGAGCGCGACCCAAAGACGAGAGCGGACAGGCGACTGGACCGGGGCGAGATCTGCTCTGTACACCGAGGGAAGCTGAAAGTAAACCCAGCGGGCGTTTTACAAAGCAAGCCGGGCAAATCCAGGATTACTTTGACTTTGCTGACCAGACGAAACCCAAATCCCTCAGGCACCAGGTAGCTCAGGCTGTGGAGGGAGGAACCCAAGAACAGAAACTTAAAGTTTGGTTGAGCCAAAAACAAACAAAAACAGAAACAAAAGGTACCGGGACAACCGCTGCTTTGTTTTCCTGCTAAATAAAAATTAGACCAGTGAATGAATATTTTCCCAGAGAACAGAGAAGAGTCACATTCTGAGTTTAGAACAGGAGGGAATAGAGAGCAACAGACTCACATAAACAAAAACTCCATGAATGTTCATCACTGTTATGAAGAGAAAATGACACCTTTAATGCAAAGTTACAGTGAAAGTCCATTAAAAGAGTCTTGGAGTTCAGAGTAGAGCTACAGGAGACCCTTCCTGCCAACAATCATCACTATAACAGCAAATTAATATGAATTACAGCAACATTTAATCTCCCTCTGAGATCAACAAAGTGTTGATGGATGATTTATTGGATGGATGAATGAATGAACGGACAGATGAATGGATGAACGGCTGTGAAACTCCATGTTAAAACCTAAAAAACAAAGGGAAAAAAACGGATCTAAATTTTGTTAGATTTTATTGTCTGAGCTCAAAAAGTGAAATCAGGAGTTTGTTACGTCTTTGGAGCATTGCTGTAGTTTTCCTGTAGTTTTCCTGTAGTTATAATATCATCATATGAAGACATTTATCTTCTTCCCAGTCATCCAGTCGGTTTCATTGCCGATTAAAAGGACGACTGCGAACATCGAGGGCTTTGCTTTCTGATGAAGCAGTTTGAGATAACGGCCAGAACGAGATTCCTGCCTTTAACATCCTAACGACGCTGACAGAAACGCGGCGCAGAGAGGAGGAAGAGCCTTCAGTCAGGATTCC